AGTCCTAACTCCTCATCTGTCATAGCTGGTGCCATCTTTTTGTCTTCTTTGTCCAGGAAAACAGCAGCTGCCACTTTGGACACAGGACTTGCCTTTCGGTCCTTTAGCCAGTAAGATGTTCAAATCTGCTCCCTTCCCAGACCTCCCATAGGACATAATCCAAACTGCAGCGGCATGCAGACTGACTGCAAGCTAGCACTCACACGGACTGACTGCAGGCTAGCACTCACGCAGACTGACTGCAGGCTAGCACTCACGCAGACTGACTGCAGGCTAGCACTCACAGGGACTGACTGCAGGCTAGCACTCACGGGGACTGACTGCAGGCTAGCACTCATGGGGACTGACTGCAGGCTAGCACTCATGGGGACTGACTGCAGGCTAGCACTCACGCGGACTGACTGCAGGCTAGCACTCATGGGGATTGACTGCAGGCTAGCACTCACATGGACTGACTGCAGGCTAGCACTCACGCAGACTGACTGCAGGCTAGCACTCACGCAGACTGACTGCAGGCTAGCACTCATGGGGACTGACTGCAGGCTAGCACTCACGGGGACTGACTGCAGGCTAGCACTCACGCAGACTGACTGCAGGCTAGCACTCACGCAGACTGACTGCAGGCTAGCACTCACGCAGACTGACTGCAGGCTAGCACTCATGCAGACTGACTGCAGGCTAGCACTCACGCGGACTGACGGCAGGCTAGCACTCATGGGGACTGACTGCAGGCTAGCACTCATGGGGACTAACTGCAGGCTAGCACTCATGGGGACTGACTGCAGGCTAGCACTGAGGTCATCTTCACAACAGCACCCGTTTTAACTATGAGCAGACTAAGGTGCAGAGGGTGAGGGACTGCAGAGAGTTACCCTAGGATGAGATGAACCTGAGCTGGGACGGAAGCCCAGGTTTTCAGATCCCGCTGCCCGGGCCTTGCTCCCGAGCGCCCAGTGTCTCAGTGTGAGCAGCCCCTGCCCCCGGAGAGCTTGGTCCGACACAGGACTCTGACCCTTTCCCCTGGAATATCTTGTGATTCTGAGATGATATTGCCTCAGTTTACCTAAGCTATTGTCACGTTGGTGCAGGATTGTCAGAGCAGGTGATGCACCTTTTCCTCAAAATGAGTTCCTGGGTCCCTTGAGGCTTCCTCCCCCTGGGCCTCCTCCCCTTGGGCCTCCTCCCCTTGGGCCTCCTCCCCCTGGGTCCCTCTGGGCCAACTCCCCTCTGGGTCCCTCGGGGCCTCCTACCCCTGGGCCCCTCGGGGTCCCTCTGGGCCTCCTCCCCCTAGGCCCCTCGGGGCCTCCTCCCCCTGGGCCTCCTCCCCCTGGGCCTCCTCCCCCTGGGACCCTCTGGGCCTCCTCCCTCGGGGCCTCCTCCCCTGGGGTCCCCCTGGGCCTCCTCCCCCTGGGTCCCTCTGGGCCTCCTCCCTCGGGGCCTCCTCCCCCTGGGGTCCCCCTGGGCCTCCTCCCCCTGGGCCCCTCTGGGCCTCCTCCCCCTGGGTCCCTCTGGGCCTCCTCCCCCTGGGTCCCCCTGGGCCTCCTCCCCCTGGGCCTCCTCCCTCAGGGCCTCCTCCCCCTGGGTCCCTCTGGGCCTCCTCCCCCTGGGGTCCCCCTGGATCCCTCTGGGCCTCCTCCCACTGGGGTCCCCCTGGGTCCCTCTGGGCCTCCTCCCACTGGGTCCCCCTGGGCCTCCTCCCCCTGGGGCCCCCCTGGGTCCCTCTGGGCCTCCTCTCTTCTGTCCTCCCAGCTTACCTGACCTTTCCCCCCTCACTCTCCCAGTCTGACTCCCATAGAAGGACTGGCCCCTTGGTACCTCAGGGGTCGCTCGGGGCTGCTCTGGAGGCCTTTCTGACACACTGTCCCCTTCCATGCCCTCTTGTCTGCAGGTGACAGCCCTGGATTCCTGGTGGGCAGAGGCTGGCGCTTGGTGGGAAGCACCCCTTGCTCCTCACCCCAGGAGGCCAAGCAGCCGCTGGAGCTGGAGATGCTACGCCCATCTGCAAAACCAGGCTTTCATGTGTGACTTCGAGCCAGGGAGTCTGCACTCTGCCAGAGCTGCTGAGGGGCAGTCCAGCCCAGCCCAGCCCAGCAAGCGTCCAGCATGGCCAGAAGGGCCCGGCCGGCCAGTCTGCCCCGCAGCTCCCTGCAGAATCCCCGTTGGTACCACCCTGCTCTTCTGGTGCTTTGGCAGCTTCTATCTCTTCCAAGACTATCCAGCTGAGACACTGAATCCCAGCCCGCCACCAGGAACCTTGTCGTGGCCGGTTGAGAAACCGTCCTGCCTTGGCGTGATTCCGGCTCTTTCAGGATTAACTGCAGCAGCGGAAGTTCTCTGAGGCTCCTGTGCGGGGTGCTGGGCCCGCACCAGCGGGAGGCCCCACAGCCACGCAGGCAGCAGAGGGCAGGCCCACCTGGTGCCGGGAGAGGCCCTGGCCTCAGGGTCTGAGCTCAGCAGGCCCCGTGGTGTGCACTGGCCACTGCCTGCGTCCGCTAGGGAGTCCCCTGTGGGCTTGTTTACATGCGTGCGGATTCTTTTCTTTGGAATGAGCTGTGCCATAATCTGGGTCTCCAGCCTCTCACGCTGCACACAGGCCGTCTGCGCTGCCGGCTGCTCGGTGGGAACGGCCGGCAGGACCCCACTCCAGGTTCCTTTTCCCCGCGAGGGCACTGGGCAGCCACGCCGGGCTCCCTTAGAGGCCCTGTGTGTCTGCAGGCTCTCTGGCACCAGCTGGCAAAGGACCTTTGCTTTGTCGAACTGGGTGTGAGCGTGGAGCAGCAGTTCCCCTGAGACCCGGTCCCTCCTTTGGCTTTGGAGGGCGAGGCCGGCACTCTGCTGGGGCCGGGAAAGGTGCCCTTCCCGGGGCTGCGATGTGTGACGGGCCACCAGAATGGCCCTGTTGTTCTCACAGAGCAGCCTGGGGCAGGTGGAAGAGGATGGGTCGCAGCTCCTCCCCGCACACCTGTGTGGGAGGAGAGCCCCGCCCCACCCCACCGGGCTCCTACAAAGAACCTTGCTGAAACCCAAGGGTCAGGCGATCAGGTTTGCAGCAGAACTGGTTTGGAGGGAGGAGGCTGTGTGGGGTGAGGGAGCTTTGACCCCTGCAGTGCAGGAGAAGAGGGTTTGTTTAGGGACCAGCACCAGCTGTTCCCAAAGCCCCATCTGTACTCCACAGTCACAAGGGACTTGGACATGTAGGTAGCTTCTCCAACCAGCATGTTCTGAAAGACGGGTTCCTGTCTTGAAGTTTGTTTAGATAGATTGCCAGATTCACCCTTGAGGTAAAAGGAAAGAAAGGACAGTGGCTTCCATAAAACAGAAATGAGTCCAGGCACTGGCCTCTCAGGAGGCTGAGATCTGAGGATCACAGTTGGAAGCCAGCCAGACAGGGAATTAACCACAAATTCCAATTAACCACAAAAAAACCTAGCTGCAAGTGGAGCTGTGGCTCAAGTGGTAGAACACTAGCTTTGAACACAAAACTCAGGGACAGTGCCCAGGTTCTGAGTTCAAACCTCAGGACTAGAACTGAAAACAAACACAAAACCATAAATGGTACTTGAATCCCCCTTCAGAAGAAATCTGTCTTCTAGAGCTGTTTGCTCTCACTGGAACAGGGCCTGGGTTTTTTCTGGTTATTTGCTTTGTCCTTCTTGGTGCATGGATCCTACTGCATGGCCCAGGAGAGCCACTGCAGATCCAGCCACCATGTCTGAAGAAAGAGGAAACGAGGAAGAATCTTCCTGACTCTCCCTCAAGGGCATTATTGGAATTTATTCACTGCATAGTACTTCCACTATATCAGAAGGCTCAATTCAAGGTCACAGCCCCGGCAGCCATGTGGCCAGAGAGGAGTCAAGGGCTCTGATTCTGAGGAAAGAGAGGGAAGACACTGGGGACAATTGCTGTTTGGCTTGCATTCCTCTTGGATAGGAAATAAGATCTAAACCATGCTTTCAAAACCGTTCTCCAAACTCAGCTTTAAAAGCATACACATGGGCTGGGAAGGTGGCTCAGTGGTAGAGCACTTGCCTTGCATGCATGAGGCCCTGGGTTCGATTCTTCAGCACCACATAAGCAGAAAAAGCCGAAAGTGGCGCTGTGGCTCAAGTGGTAGAGCGCTAGCCTTGAGCTGAAGAGCTGAGGGACAGCGCCCAGGCCCCGAGTTCAGGCCCACAACCGACAAACCCTCCCCCCCCCCAAAAAAAAACCAAAACAATAAAAGCATACACATGAAGTTAGAAATTAGATCGTTTAAATCCTCACTTTGCAGAGTAGGAAAGCAAGGCCAGAGAGGCTAAACAAACAACCCGAGATCACAGCAAGTGCTGGCGTCTAATTGCGTTTGTTCTCAGTACTTTTTTTTGTTCTGTGTTCTAAAACTTGTTTTCTTGTTATGATGAATGTGATGGGCAGAGGTGTTACAGTTACAGAAGTCAGGTAGAGCACGTTGCCTTTTGGACATTGCCACCCTGTCCATGGCTCTCTTCCAGTTTTCCCTCCTGTCCCCACCCACAAGTCATATAGCTCATTTTCAACATAGTGCCCAGTGAGCATCACTCTGCATTTGCTGACCCTTTGTCCCTCCACTCCTGCCCTGCCTTAACCTCCCAAAGATAGATAAACAAAAACAGCAACAAAGCCCGGCGCTGGTGGCTCACGCCTACAATCGTAGCTGCTCAGGAGGCTCAGATTTGAGGATCGTGGTTCAAAGCCAGCTAGGCAGGAAAGTCCATGAAATTATCTCCAATTAACTACCAGAAAATCAGAAGTAGAGGTGTGGCTCAAAGAGGTAGAGCACTCGCCTTGAGCTGAAGAGCACAAGGACAGCACCCAGGCCTGAGTTCAAGCCCCACAACTACCACCACCAACAACAACAAAAAACAACAAAGGAAAATACTTGTTTCCATTTCTGTTCTGTGTTTTATGGGAAGGGACCTTGGGTGCCGAGGGTGGAATCACCTGGCAGTCCGACTCTGAGCTGGGGGACATCTGGGAGGATGGCAGGTTTGCAAGCCCTGATCCGCCCAGACTGCCACAACGCCGCTCTGGAGAGGGCTCTGCCACAACGCCGCTCTGGAGAGGGCTCTGCCACAACGCCGCTCTGGAGAGGGCTCTGCCACAACGCCGCTCTGGAGAGGGCTCTGCCACAACGCCGCTCTGGAGAGGGCTCTGCCACAACGCCGCTCTGGAGAGGGCTCTGCCACCACGCCGCTCTGGAGAGGGCTCTGCCACCACGCCGCTCTGGAGAGGGCTCTGCCACAACGCCGCTCTGGAGAGGGCTCTGCCACAACGCCGCTCTGGAGAGGGCTCTGCCACAACGCCGCTCTGGAGAGGGCTCTGCCACCACGCCGCTCTGGAGAGGGCTCTGCCACAACGCCGCTCTGGAGAGGGCTCTGCCACAATGCCGCTCTGGAGAGGGCTCTGCCACAATGCCGCTCTGGAGAGGGCTCTGCCACAATGCCGCTCTGGAGAGGGCTCTGCCACAATGCCGCTCTGGAGAGGGCTCTGCCACAATGCCGCTCTGGAGAGGGCTCTGGGCTTATGGACCACTGCCCTGTTCTCTCTGCCTCTGTCTCTGTCTCTCTGTCTCTCTCTCTCTGTCTCCCCTCTACAACTCTCTGCACTATACCTGCTTCCCGTCTGCCTCAGCTGGCTAAGCCATGTCTCCTTCTGTCTGTCTGTCTCTCTCTCTCTCTCTCTGTGCGCCACGCACTGCTTCCTGTCTGCCTCAGCTGGCTAAGCCATGTCTCTGTCTGTCTGTCTGTCTGTCTGTCTATCTGTCTGTTTATCTGTCTGTCTCTCTCTCTCTGTGCCACGCACTGCTTCCCGGCTGCCTCAGCTAGCTAAGCCATGTCTCCTTCTGTCTGTCTGTCTGTCTCTCTCTCTCTCTCTCTCTGTGCCACGCACTGCTTCCCAGCTACCTCAGCTAGCTAAGCCATGTCTCCTTCTGTCTGTCTGTCTGTCTGTCTGTCTGTCTCTCTCTCTCTCTCTCTGCGCCACGCACTGATTCCCGGCTGCCTCAGCTGGCTAAGCCATGTCTCCTTCTGTCTGTCTGTCTGTCTGTCTCTCTCTCTCTCTCTCTCTCTCTGCGCCACGCACTGCTTCCCAGCTACCTCAGCTAGCTAAGCCATGTCTCCTTCTGTCTGTCTGTCTGTCTGTCTGTCTGTCTGTCTGTCTGTCTGTCTCTCTCTCTCTCTCTCTCTGCACCACGCACTGCTTCCCGGCTGCCTCAGCTGGCTAAGCCATGTCTCCTTCTGTCTGTCTGTCTGTCTGTCTCTCTCTCTCTCTCTCTGCACCACGCACTGCTCCCCGGCTGCCTCAGCTGGCTAAGTCTGGTGTGCTTCTCTTTCAGGGAAGACCAGGCCAGCATGGCGGTCCCTGGGAGGAAGGGCTCTGCGCTTGGGGCTGTGCTGGCCCTCTGCTGTCTCATCCTGACCTCCTGCCCTGGAGCCACATCCACAGGTGAGCAGTAAACCAGTCCCGCGTCTCCGCATGGCTCACAGCCCTGTTGAAGCCGGACTGCTGGGGAGGGGCAGGAGGAAGGGCCCGGGGCCCAGTCAGGGTGACCGAGCTCCAACTCCTCACCAAAGCCTCTCACCTGCAAGTCTCGTCCTGGCTGTAGTCTCGTTGTCGACAAAACGGTGGCTGCTCTAGAATCTGGCTGCAGACTCCACGTCTGGCCGAGCTGCCACCTGACACACGCAAATGAAACCAGCCGGGACGGGCAGGAGAGCTGTCTGTGACAGGCTATTCTGCATTTTCAAGAGATACCAGGAAACTAGATTTTTATGTCAAAGCTGCCTAGTTTTCAAGTGTTAGCACTACTTCAAAATCTTATAACTACTGTAGAGGGTCAGAAAATCCAACGCACGTCTGAGACCTAGCTCCCTCCCCTCTGGTCATCTGATGTCAGCCTCCCTTTGTGCTGTGTGTCAATGATGTCAGTGACCCCTTAGGCTCTGGGTCATCTGATGTTGGTGACCTCTTCACACTCCGTATGTCTTAACGTCTGGGCAGACTGACGTGCTTTCCAGCTGGGACGCTCTGCGTATATGTTTGTCTGTCTCATTGTCTTCAGCTTTTTCCCTCAGTGACTTTAGGCTAACATCTGAAAGCACAGGGCAAGTTCATCTGGACTTCAGGAGCAGGAGACCAGATGAGCCAAATGTAAGGCAGAAGATGTGAGAGAACTCACATTTTACAAATTAGAATAAGGGCTTAGTCATGTTCCTCTCACCATTTGCTGCATTTTTTTTTTTTTGGGTGGGTTGTGGGGCTTGAACTCTGGGCCTGGGCGCTGTCCCTCAGCTCTTCAGCTCAAGGCGAGCGCTCTACCACTTGAGCCACAGCACCACTTCCGGTTTTCTGGTGGTTCATTGGAGATGAGTCTCACAGACTTTGCTGCCCGGGCTGGTTTTGAACCGCGATCCTCAGATCTCAGTGTCCTGAGTAGCTAGGATGACAGGCGTGAGCTACCAGCACCCAGCTTATGTTGCACTTGTTTTTAAATGCTGTCACATTTACTACAATAGGCATCTGAAGGCCATGCCTCGGGCCCCTCTGGCCTGTGCACTTCCCCAAAGTCAGGTACGCAGGTCCGGCCCGCACCGCTCCTGCCCAGGGAGCCCCGGCCTGCAGTCCTGCTCCAGCCTGCTTGCTTTCAGCTCCTGCTGGAAAAGCCGGGGTGGCTGCCACGGTGACGTTTTAGCCAAGGCCCTGGCCTTTCTCTGGCACCCATTTATCCCTGCCTCCCAGTGAAGGCACAGTGGTACTGGCTCCGGAAGGGCTCAGGCCTGGCCTGGAGCTGCTGCATCCAGCCGTGGGTTCTGAGCTGGAGATGGGACTTACATCTTGAGGACAAGGCAGCCTGTGGGGTCAGACCCAGTGCCCAGCTCCCTTGGGAGTGTCCTCAGGCGAGATCCTTGGAGCCACCCAGAAGCTGTCTTCCATGGCTCTACCAGAGACAGCTCAGGAGAGGAAACAAGAATAGCACTGGACAGGCAGAGACACTGCCCTGCGCATGCCCCACACGCGAGGCTCCACGCAGGAGCCTGCCACGCCAGGGACACAGCCCGCGGCCAGAGTGATGTGCGTAGGGAAGCCGTGCGTGCATCTCCATCAGGCCCAAAATATCAAGTATTTATAGCTTTTCCCACTTCCATCTTACTTGCCATTGGGAGCCTCTTGTTACAAGTGATGTTGCTTGGTAACAAAGTTTCTACAATTCCATCTTTCTCGGGTTTCCAGGGAAACAGTGGTAGAAAATTAACCAAAGGTCACATTTTCATGCAAAAGGAGAAAGTTTTGTTAAGGCTCCTACTGCTTTCCAGAGGACAGAATGGAATGGGATCCATGTAGTCTGGGCAAACCGTTGCGTTGATTTGGGAGTCCTCAACTGGCCCTTTGTCCTACAAAGGGGGGACTGGATGCAGAGAAGGGAAGTCCTGGTCAAGGATGTACGGAGCAGGGTGCGAGGGGCAGGCCCCAGACAGCTCTGTGAAGAGGCTTGCACACGTGTGTCCAGCCGTCCCAGCCCAGGGTGCTGGCGGACAGCAGCAGCGGCCTCTCCTTGTCTTCAGCAGTGGCCGCCGACTGTCCTGACCAGAGCCCTGAGCTGCAGCCCTGGAGCCCCGGCCACGACCAGGACCTTGGTGTGCACATCGGGCGGGGGGAGGCGCTGCTGCTGACCTCCTCCGCCACAGTCCACTCCATCAGCATCGCGGATGGAGGTAAGCATCTCTCCCTCTGCCATCCCAGAACCTGCCATGGACGCAAGCCACCGTCACTGAAGGGCAGGGAAATGTCTCATGCTTTGGGTTCAGGCCTAACCCTAACCCTAACCCTTACTTGATTCTTTAAAAGATAACCATCCGCCCAGGAGTGGATGAAGTGTAACCTTAGGAAAGTAGCCTTCACATGGGCGCTTCTGCTGGTGGTCTGTGGCTTCCCTGGCCTTCGCTGAACCCCATTAGCATCATGGCAGTATACCTCTTAGACCTTGAAAGCACAGGGCAGAGAAACGAAATAGAGGCAAGGCTGTGTCAGAAGTGTTTTGGAAGAGGTGCCTTCTTGCCTTCTGAATCAGACTTGGGGAGCCCGCCCTGGGCCCTTGACGCTTGCATTCTCAGCCAGCCCTTCCCCGTTCCTGTCCATCTCCTCAGGCAAGCTGGTCATTAAGGACTACCAGGAGCCCATTGTTTTACGAACCCGGCACATACTGATTGACAGTGGAGGAGAACTGCATGCTGGGAGTGCCCTCTGCCCTTTCCAGGGCAACTTCAGCATTGTGTTGTACGGAAGGTGAGAGCACCCTCAGAGGTCAACTGATGGACGGGAAGATTTTAAAAGGAGAAAGTAAGGCGAGAGTGGTCGTGCTGGCTGGCTGGCTTGTAATCATGAGCAGATGACGGGCTTTGGGAGAGCCGGGACAGTCCGTGAGGCGCTTTATTTATTCTGGCTGGGCACCATCCTTGAGTTACAGGAGTCCTGACAGCCGCTTAGCCACCTGCTCATCAAGTCTTGATTTGGGGAGGCTCTACAAGTTTGTTGAGTTATGAGGAACAAGATGCAGGAAATTCCAGGCTGCATTTGCCTCTGGCTGTGCCCCTTCTTTAGCAACTGAGAGCTCTAAAAGTGGTAGCCAAGATCCCCCCAGCATTGTATGCAGTGAACGTCCATGGGGCAGCAGCCACACTGGACCGATAGGCTACCTGCTGGCCCATGAGCCACCTGCTGGTGTGGCTTAGAAAATCTCCTTGCTGGTGCTTTGTGAGTGTGTACATGTGTATGTGTGTGCACACTGGGCCTGGGGTTTGAACTTAAGGCCTAGGCGCTGCCCCTGAGCTTTTCTTTTTTTTTTTTTGCTCAAGGCTAGTGCTCTTATTTAAGCCACAGCTCACTTCCAGCTTTTGGTGGTTCATGCACTGTCCTGCCTGGGCTGACGTGGAATTACGACTCAGGTCTCAGCCTCCTGAGAGGCTGGGGAAACAGGTGTGACCGCTGGTGCGGATGGGGGCAGGCCCGCGCTTTAGCGTGGTGAGGAGAGGGTTGGCCATCCTTGGGGGCCTTTTCCTTGCAGGGCTGATGACCCGGGCGCCCAGCCAGACCCGTACTACGGCCTGAAGTACATTGGCGTTGGGAGAGGAGGCACCCTCGAGCTGCACGGGCAGAAAAAGCTCTCCTGGACTTTCCTCAGCAAGACCCTTCGTCCGGGGGGCTTGGAGGAGGGAGGATATTTTTTCGAAAGGAGCTGGGGCCACCGTGGCGTCATCGTTCACGTCATTGATGCGAAGTCAGGCTCAGTCATCCACTGTGACCGGTAAGGCGGCCTGCCCGGCACATGGGCTCCTCCCGGTGTGCCCGGCTGAGCGCCTGCTGCCGCGGGGGCCACGCTGGCTGCCGGGCGGCGGCACTGGGCACTAGACGGTGGGCAGTGCCATCCTGGGGGGACGTGTCCTCCCCAGACGGGGCTGAATCTCACAGGAACAGGCGTGGGTCCTGCACACAGACACCGTATTCCAAGTGTGATACTGGTAATAAAACGAGAAGGCCAGGCAGGGCAGAGACTGCGTGTGGAGGGCCACCCTGAAGGGGGTGGTCAGGGAAGACTGAGGATCGCACAGTGAAGAGGGGCTGAAGAAAGCGTGTTCAAAAGAGGCCAGAGAGGAGGAAGGACCTAGGAGGAAGGCCAGGAGAGGAAAGGCAGCCAGAGACACCGGGGGCAACCGGGCTGGAAGGGCACTGGGCAGGGCACCGATCTTGGAGCCCCCAGCGAGGAGCTGGGTTTATTCAAAGCCAGTGAAGAACCTTAAGAGGGCGTGACCTGAATTGAACCTGACTTGTTACCAATGAAAAGACGCCCTTGGGGCCTTGGGACAACGTTTTAATTACTGTGCCACAGAAGTGGGTTTTATCACTATCTTTGGACATTGTCAGGGCTGTACAAATCCTTGATCTCTGTGCCCTTTTAGGTTTGACACGTACAGGTCCAGGAAGGAGAGTGAGCGTCTGGCCCAGTATCTGAGCGCAGTGCCTGAGGGCAGGATCCTCTCGGTCGCAGTGAACGATGAAGGCTCTCGACACCTGGATGACCTGGCCCGGAAGGCAGTGACCAGACTGGGCAGCAAACACTTCCTACACCTTGGATTTAGGTATTGCCCCTCCTTTCCCCTCAGTGGAGTGCTGAGCACTGACGCACCCCGTATCCTATCTGGAAGCAACCCTTCCTCTCTCCTATCCTCAAGGCCAGTCCCCCTAAATGGCATTGGGGATGCAGACACCTTGTCCATCGGCTCGAAGGGTACCTGGCTTTCCTAACATGACCGCCTGCTCTCAAAATGTGAAAGATCTTCGTATGGACTCCAGTCAGCCTCTTACAGTTGAGCGTGTGTAGAGCGTGTGCCGAGCATGTGCAGAGCATGTGTGGAGCATGTGTGGAGCGTGTGCGGAGCGTGTACCAAGTGTGTGCGGAGCGTGTGCTGAGTGTGCTGAGTGTGTGCCGAGCGTGTGCAGAGTGTGTGTGGAGCGTGTGCAGAGCGTGTACCAAGTGTGTTTGGAGCGTGTGCGGAGCGTGTGTCCAGTGTAAGGGCCATGCCTGGAGATGCAGTGCCTTGCTGAGCCGCTGGCTCATTTTCCCTTCCTTTTGCCCTGGGGACTGACCAACTTTTAAGGATTACACCTGACCTGGGTGTGCACACCCGCGGTTTGTCCTCTCGTAACCACATCTTTTCATCTTGCACGCTCAGCCTGGCCTGGGTGTGCACACCCGCGGTTTGTCCTCTCGTAACCACATCTTTTCATCTTGCACGCTCAGCCTGGCCTGGGTGTGCACACCCGCGGTTTGTCCTCTCGTAACCACATCTTTTCATCTTGCACACTCAGCCTGGCCTGGGTGTGCACACCCGCGGTTTGTCCTCGTAACCACATCTTTTCATCTTGCACACTCAGCCTGGCCTGGGTGTGCACACCCGCGGTTTGTCCTCTCGTAACCACATCTTTTCATCTTGCACACTCAGCCTGGCCTGGGTGTGCACACCCGCGGTTTGTCCTCTCGTAACCACATCTTTTCATCTTGCACACTCAGCCTGGCCTGGGTGTGCACACCCGCGGTTTGTCCTCTCGTAACCACATCTTTTCATCTTGCACACTCAGCCTGGCCTGGGTGTGCACACCCGCGGTTTGTCCTCTCGTAACCACATCTTTTCATCTTGCACACTCAGCCTGGCCTGGGTGTGCACACCCGCGGTTTGTTCTCTCGTAACCACATCTTTTCATCTTGCACACTCAGCTCTTAGCTCTGTGGAGAGTCAAGGCCGTATATCCCTTGGATGTTTGAGGACTTTGACAACCCTCACTTCAGAGGCTCAGAGCAAAGCCATGTAACTGGCTCAGCAGAGACTCCCCGTGGGTGGGGGGAGGCTCCGGGGTTCATTCTCTGACAGCCCCCAGGCTGCTGCTTCCAAAAGAAAAACAGCCAGGAAACTCACGTGGCCTAGATGACCATGACATCTCCGCCTGGCAAGGCAACCTTATGAGCAAACACCACACTCGTACCTCACTGTTACAAATCAAAGGGCCATTTATGCTGTTGTGATGAGAGCTAGGACTCAGGAGGGACTGGCTACACAGGGCCTCAGCAGAGACAGCGATGCGGCTGAGAGTCCGAGGCCTGGCATCTGATGGCCTGGATTTGAGTCTGAGCTGGCCTCTGGCCAGTGACTCTTCCTCCACCGGCCTGTATCTTGTGTCTGTAAAGTGAACTATCTCAGGATCTATTGCAAAGGGCTCCTGGGAGGGCTCCATGTGGTCACCTACCTGGCCCAGAATACGCACTCAGCAATGGTGGCAACTGCTCCATCCTTACGAACAAGAGCCAGGGGAAGGGTGGTTGATGCCAACATGTCTCACCTCGGCAGCACACGGGGAAGGAGACAGGCAGGCAGAAGCACACTTCGCTCTGACCTTTGTTCATTGGCACGGGAGTGGTTAAGGAGGAGGCATGGGGCTGGGCCAGACGTGCAGAGATCATGTGAGAAAACAGGGATTCATGGATGACGCTTGGCGCAGACTTATGGGGTGAGGCAGGCGCCCTGTGGGGAGAGCATCGGCTTGAGAGGCAGGGTGGAAGCGTGGCTCTGCTGAGGAGGGGGTCTGGGAAGACACTCGCATGGGGGAAGGTGAGGGCTGAGCCGCGGGGCATGCGGTGGTCTGACTCCATGCTGTGGAGCTCGGATTTTCCTTCCTCCAGCCCATGGGGAGCCACCGAAAGATTTTAAGTAAGCAAGTGGCATAGCAGAGCCTTTAGTCTCAATTCAGTCCCACCATTCAATAATGACGTACTTCCCAAGACTAGAGATCTGAACGAAAAACAGAAAAGCTCTTCAGCAGCAAAGGAGAAGGAAAGATACTTTTGTGTAGCCCTTCTAAGTCCTTGCTGGGACTCCAGCAACAAAAAGACTGATCATCAGGAGAAAAGCAGACCAGCTCCTATATTCAATGAGCTTCACATGAGATAGTTAAATGTGAGCACTGTCATAGTAGGTGTTGTGAAGGGTGGACAGAGGCCACGGCCAAGTGTGATCTGTGGGGACGTCTGTCCAGGCCCTTCCCGAGGTGTTGGGAGGAGAGGAGGCGTGGAGCAGGGTCAGAGGGCCGCAGTTTCTCAGATTCCTTCAACGTAGGATGTCCAGCGTGCCCCGTGCTGCCCTTTAGGACAGTGTTTCCCTCCCCATCACGGTACTGGCGTGGCGATGCCCACGCTACGTGAAGAAAGCCCTCCTGCCTCATAGCAGTGCACTTTAATCAGCAGGGAAGATGGGTGTGCAACTTTCCAACACCACCAACTTTCTTCCTCATTGCACGGAGGAGACTTTCATCCCCTCCCAAGGCCGGTCCGAGGCCTGCGGCATTTTCCTTGAGGCCAGCTCAGGGGAGATGAGCTTGGAAGGCTCACTTTCCTCTCTGGACACGCTGGCCTGAGGCTGGCGTCAGGACGTCGCTGTCCCCGGCATGCCCCGTGGCTCAGCAGTCCGCTGCTGCTTTGTGTTCAGCCTCTCCCACTGTCACGGCGAAGTGGAAGAGGCTCAGGAGAGGGCAGCGGGCTGCCGGACAGAGCCCAAATCAGCACTTACCATGAAGGTCTCTGGGCTCTTGAGGAAGAGATCTGCCCAGTAATGAGCTCGGGGCCCTGTCCCGAGAGGGCTGAGGGCGTGAAGGGCTTCACTTACTGTTTTCCAGACACCCGTGGAGCTTCATCACCGTGAAAGGAAACCCCTCTTCCTCGGTTGAAGACCACATTGAGTATCACGGTAATGAGCGGCTGGCGGGAGGCCCGACGCTGCCTTCTCTGCCATGTCTCTAAGGCACAGTCGCCCTGCTGACCCCCGCTAGCCACGCCCGCCCCGTTAGCCACGCCCGCCCCGGTAGCCACGCCCGCCCCGCTAGCCACGACCACCCCGCTAGCCACGCCCACCCCGCTAGCCACGCCCGCCTCGCTGGCCACGCCCGCCCCGTTAGTCACGCCCACCCCCGTTACACCCCCGTTAGCCACGCCCGCCCCCTAGCCACGCCCGCCCCATTAGTCACGCCCACCCCCGTTACACCCCCGTTAGCCACGCCCACCCCAGTTAGCCACGCCCACCCCGGTTACACCCCCACTAGCCACGCCCACCCCAGTTATGCCCCGTTGGCCACGCCCACCCCATTACACCCCCCCCGTTAGCCACGCCCACCCCAGTTGCCGTGCCAGCCCCCAGTTAGGGTCCAGCTGCTTTCCTGACCACATGGCACAAATGCGGCAAAGCCACAGCAGCGGAGGCCAAAGCCGCTCACCGTCACACGGCCCTTCCAAGAGGCTGCTGACGCGCTCTGAGCTTTGGGAGCTCGCGGGTGACGCTTTGAGCTGGAGACTTGTGGAGGGTCTGTCCTGCAGCAGCCTCCCGGGTGGTGGCAGCTCTGCCGTCCTCGCCCTGGGAGAACTCATCAGGAGAGGCAGTGGGGCTCCCAGACCTGCACTTGTTCGGAGGCTGTGATGGAACTTTGGGACAGATAATCACCTGGCTTCTGGGCGACCAGCCTGGCCTGCTTGGGCGGGGGAAAGCCCTTTCCTAAACAAATCGTTCGCGTTCCATGGGTGTAGGAGACTTTGTCCGTGTTGGGATCCCAGCTTTGTAATTTGGGGTCTGTCTGGCCTCTGCTCTGTCTCACAGCACATGGAGGCTCTGCTGCCGCACGAGTTTACAAACTGTTCCAGACGGAGCACGGCGAATACTTCAATGTTTCCTCATCCAGTGAGTGGGTCCAAGGTGAGGAGTCTGACACAGCCCAGCAACACCTGGCAGCCGGGTCAAACACCCCAAAATCACGGGCTTTGCAGGACAGTAAGAATAACTTCACTGCAAAGATGGCTGTCTTCGATTAACCACATTGACAAATTTCCCACAAGGATTTTTCTCACTGGCCAAGGTCCTTTTCATCACACTGAGGGTTCAGGACTTTAGCCATGGAGGGTCGTGTGTGTGTGTGGGGGGGGGGGTGTTGGTTTTCTGCACACCAGGAATGGCGTGGGCAGGAAGCAGATGGCTGAGACTCGGCCTGGCCTTCCAGCGGCCCTGCACAGGATTGCAGAGGCTGAGCCCAAGTGGCCGTCTTCAGATGATGGACTTTTCTCTCCTTTCTTCCTTTACTTTTGCAGTAACAACATATCAGGTTATAGGTGCATATGTATCCTTCATAAAGCAAGAGTGTCGATCAGAAGGTTCTCACTCACAAGGTGCGAAGAGGAGAGCTGGAGATCAGTTAGTCTCCTGCTCACTGAAGCGCACCATGGAGAGACAGCACCAGCCCCTCACAGCGGCATTACATCTCACCGTCTTTCTTTCTGCCTAGATGTGGAGTGGACAGAATGGTTCGACCAGGACAAAGTGTCTCAGACTAAAGGTGGGGAGAAGATTTCAGACCTCTGGGCAGCTCACGCAGGAAGGATCTGCAGCCATCCCATCGATGTTCAGGTACCAAGCACCCAGCCACCTGCAAGGGAAGCTTCATTGTTGAGGATCTCACGCCACCTTGTCACTTGGCTCTCCTCCCTCCAATACCGGGGTCATTCTTCAGGTTACGTAGGAAAACAAGAGAAGCAGCAGAACCAAGTAGCTGTTCTCTGGGAATTGTTGGACACTGAGGTAGTGGAAGTCAGCAGGCTTCTTCCAGAAAGGGTTTCAATTGTGCATCTTGGCATCATTCTTCTCTTAACACAAAGGATCCGTTGAGTTCCAAACAGTGTTTCCTAAAAAGCCTCTTTTTTAAAGGTTGCCTGTGCTTTCCTTCCCTATTTCTCCAGGCCTTGTCCCTTTGGTTTTTGTGCCAAAGACTACAACAGTGGTGGCCCTGGCTCTGAATTTCTGGTCTCTGAATGGCATTGTCTTCGTGTAGACACACCCAGGCCTTGGGATGAGCACACAGTGGCAGGGATCCCACCCCCTCTGAGTGCACCCCCTAAACTTGGTCCGTGTCTTCTGGAGCAGCAATTCCCAGAGTCTGAGGCCCATTGCCCAGCGCTGTGCTGGACGCCAGGGCCGGGCGGGGTGAGACCTCTCCTTGTGCTCCCAGAGCCCGCAGTGCACTGGGAGGAGGCAGACACGGAGCCAAGCATACCAGGTGCAGCAGGGCAGGAGGGGCAGCCGCGGGGAGCCCCAGCTGCACGTCTGCATTCACATTCTGGCCCTTTCTCCTCCTGGCTCTCCCTGGCAAGTTATTCAACATCTCTGAGTAGCCATTTTCCTTACTCTTAAAACTAACCACAACTTCACAGTTTGGCTGTGGAGATAACTGAGACCTGTTAACATTTAGCCCTGTCCCTACAATGGTGGTTCTTACGTTGGGATCTCCTGGGTAGCGTTTAACAGCCCTGACGCCCCCATTGGAGCTCCTGAGCTTCTGGGCACAAGTATTTCTCTAGGACTGCCCACACGGCGTGGACGCCTGCTGGGCACCCGCAGGCTGAACATAGCAAGGCCTCTGTAAGCGACCTGCAGGCCCGGGGCATGGTGGTGCGGTGCGGCGTGGCGGCCGGCTCAGGTCCCACAGGGTGTGTCATGTCACTACTGTGTTCACCCCAAGACTTCCTGCTGTCTGCCTTATAACGAGCCTCATGTGGACGGTTGTTAGGCGAACCTCTGGCCATTGTATGTATGTTCACAGCGAGGGTAATTTTAAGTCTCCCAGGATATTTTGAGAATGTTAACCATCACATCCTTCCTTCTTTTTAAGTCTCCTCTGTAATTTCTGTGCCATTTGCAGGCCACAACCATGGATGGCGTTGACCTCAGCACCGACATTGTCTATAAGAAGGGCCAGGGCTATAGGTTTGCCTGCCACGACCTTGGCCGCGCCTGCCAGAGCTACCGTGTGCGCTTCCTCTGCGGGAAGTCTGGTGAGCCTGGGCCTCCCAGCCGGCAGCCAGGCTGCTCTCTGAGCTCCATGGCTGGCCGGCCACTCTGGGCGTCCAGTGACCGGCTCCTCACAGCATGCAGCACCAGTAGGAGCGGGTCCCCACAGCTGGCCACTCAGCAGAGCCCCACCCTGCCCTTAAGCCTGTCTGGAACTTTCTGGGAAGGGCAGGGCCTGGTCCGGGAGTAGCGGGGTGCAGAGGGACAGAGCTGGCCTCCCCACCCCTTCCGCAGAGGCTCTGGGGTGCTGTTAGCTTAGTGCCAGTTCCCAGGGCGCTGGTTAGGAGGCTGGCGGTGCTGTTGTTCTTGGAGGCACTCGGCCATCTCCAAAAGGCGGTCACCGGGATGTGCCTGCTGAGAGGAGAAGCAATGGCTACAGCACACAATAGTTGAGAGGAACTATATTTGTCTTACATCTTCAGCAAAGTGGGTGTGGTGGGCAGCCACATTTAACTCCAGCCTAGAAGAAGGGAGTGGAAAATTCCCCTGCCCAGAGCTAATGAATGGTTCTTTTGGGGTTGGGACTTTGCTGACTTCAAAAACTTGACTGTACAGACACTGAGATGGAGTGAGCCCAGTGATTTGGGTTTTAGACAGGCAAACCTAGCATTTACGTATTCAGCTAGGGGAAGGGAAGAAGTGGGCAGCCAGAAGGGTGGGGGCGGGGGGGAGGGGGGAGCAGGTGCTGGGCCTCGGTCCCTCCCAGTGTGCACGCGCAGGTGCTGGGCCTCAGTCCCTCCTGCTTTGGGTTACAGTGAGGCCCAAACTCACGGTCAGCATCGACACCAACGTGAACAGCACCATCCTGAGTCTCGAGGACGACGTGCAGACGTGGAGGCCGGGAGACACGCTGGTTGTAGCCAGCACCGACTACTCCATGCACCAGGCAGAGGAGTTCCGGGTTCTTCCCTGCAGAGCCTGTGCTGCCAACCAAGTCAGAGTGGCAGGTAGGCCTTCCTCCTCCCTCCCTGCCTGCCAGGTGTGTGAACAGTCAGAGTGGCAGGTAGGCCTTCCTCCTCCCTCCCTGCCTGCCGGGTGTGTGAACAGTCAGAGTGGCAGGTAGGCCTTCCTCCCTCCCTGCCTGCCTGCCGGGTGTGTGAACAGTCAGAGTGGCAGGTAGGCCTTCCTCCTCCCTCCATGCCTGCCGGGTGTGTGAACAGTCAGAGTGGCAGGTAGGCCCTCCTCCCTGCCTGCCTGCCGGGTGTGTGAACAGTCAGAGTGGCAGGTAGGCCTTCCTCCTCCCTGCCTGCCTGCCGGGTGTGTGAACAGTCAGAGTGGCAGGTAGGCCCTCCTCCTCCCTCCCTGCCTGCCGGGTGTGTGAACAGTCAGAGTGGCAGGTAGGCCTTCCTCCCTCCCTGCCTGCCGGGTGTGTGAACAGTCAGAGTGGCAGGTAGGCCTTCCTTCTCCCTGCCTGCCGGGTGTGTGAACAGTCAGAGTGTCAGGTAGGCCTTCCTCCCTCCCTGCCTGCCGGGTGTGTGAACAGTCAGAGTGTCAGGTAGGCCCTCCTCCCTCCCTCCCTGCCTGCCGGGTGTGTGAACAGTCAGAGTGGCAGGTAGGCCCTCCTCCCTCCCTCCCTGCCGGGTGTGTGAACAGTCAGAGTGGCAGGTAGGCCCTCCTCCCTCCCTCCCTGCCGGATGTGTGAACAGTCAGAGTGGCAGGTAGGCCCTCCTCCCTCCCTGCCTGCCTGCCGGGTGTGTGAACAGTCAGAGTGGCAGGTAGGCCTTCCTCCTCCCTCCCTCCCTGCCGGGTGTGTGAACAGTCAGAGTGGCAGGTAGGCCTTCCTCCTCCCTCCCTGCCTGCCGGGTGTGTGAACAGTCAGAGTGTCAGGTAGGCCCTCCTCCTCCCTGCCTGCCTGCCGGGTGTGTGAACAGTCAGAGTGTCAGGTAGGCCCTCCTCCCTCCCTCCCTGCCTGCCGGGTGTGTGAACAGTCAGAGTGGCAGGTAGGCCCTCCTCCCTCCCTCCCTGCCGGGTGTGTGAACAGTCAGAGTGGCAGGTAGGCCCTCCTCCCTCCCTCCCTGCCGGGTGTGTGAACAGTCAGAGTGGCAGGTAGGCCCTCCTCCCTCCCTGCCTGCCTGCCGGGTGTGTGAACAGTCAGAGTGGCAGGTAGGCCTTCCTCCTCCCTCCCTCCCTGCCGGGTGTGTGAACAGTCAGAGTGGCAGGTAGGCCTTCCTCCTCCCTCCCTGCCTGCCGGGTGTGTGAACAGTCAGAGTGGCAGGTAGGCCTTCCTCCCTCCCTCCCTGCCTGCCTGCCGGGTGTGTGAACAGTCAGAGTGGCAGGTAGGCCTCCTCCTCCCTGCCCTTCCTAGTGAGTACTGAGGCCCTGGCATGAGTCTGAACATGCACACATGTGTCAAACCGGCCGTCTGTCTGTCCTGCCATTCCTCCTCCTCACACTTGAGCCTGCGCCTCCCTGCCGGCAGAGTCCGGGCTCTGCTTGCCTCTCTTTCCAGTCCCTGTCCAGGCTGGCTAGAGAGAGGAACCCATCCTCAGACACCGCTCTCGATTCCCAAGACACGGCCCTTCCTGCATTTTCAGGGCTTTCTGATGGGAAACAGATGGGTAGCAAAGCAATGAAAACGTGTGAATCATCTAAAACGTACTTCAGAGTCTTGCCAGCCACACCTCCCAGGGCCTCTGTGGACGTTCTCAGTCCTCTCTTCCTTTTTCTCTGCCCCTCCCCACCTGTCTGGAAGTACGCCGCAGCCTCAAACGCCGCTTCGGGTAGACGGCGTGGAAGCCCCCGGGGGTGGCCCTGAGTGTGGACGGAGCTTCCTCCTGTCCGCTGTCGTGGGGGCCTCTTACCGCAGCACCCTGCTCTGTGCAGGACTCAGCGGGGAAGCTGAGGTGTGCGCACATGGCACGTCCAACCTCATGCTTCCCAGAGTGCAGCGGCCGTCCTGTTAGCACAAAGCAAGGTGCAAGCTTCTGTTTCAAGTGCCCTGTGCTGCGTTGCTGGTGTACCATAGTGGGCAGCGAGGTGTAGTCCTGGTGGGCAGAGCTGGTGTAGACAAGCATGTCAATACAGGCGTCAGGTCAACCTCAGAGCTGGCTCCCGGCCCACGCGCATGCTGCCAATCCCCTCCAAGATCCCCATTCCCAGCATCTCCCATGGAGATGGACTGAGGCCCCATGAGTTGTGGGGCTTGAATTTGCTTCTCCAGACCCTCCTGTCCAAGTCTCTCTGTGCTGTTCTTGCCCCCATTGGTCTGAGAACTGGCTCAGCCCTGCCTTCCAGGGGTGCTGCTAGCCTAGGTCTGAGCTACGAGTGCGTGCATCTGTTTCTCCCTCTGGAAGGTCCTGTGGTGCCCGTTTTCATGCCTGACCTGAAGACAAGGCTTGGGGGCTACACTGGAGGCTCCTGAAGGCAGACGCCAGGAAAGGAAGTGTTGGGAGCCCTGGATGGGTCATCCACACAGAGCCCCTGTCCACTACGTTTGTGGCCCTGGCCTTTGGGGGACAATTCTGACTTAACCACATCTGCTTTTTCTGGTCAGCCCTTGTGTATCAGTGCTGGGAGGAGGAAGAGAGGGTGGAAGAATTTCACAGCTAGGGTGGGGTGCTGGGGTCAGGCACAGGGCATGTGGTCTTGGAGTGGCATGGACAGATAGCGGCGTCTTCTGATGGGGAGTCCACAGCGGGGGGGGAGTCCACGGCGGGGGGGGAGTCCACGGCGGGGGGGAGTCCACGGCGGGGGGGGAGTCCACGGCGGGGGGTCCACAGCAGGGGGGATCCACGGCGGGGGGGAGTCCACGGCGGGGGGGGAGTCCACGGCAGGGGGGAGTCCACGGCGGGGGGAGTCCACGGCGGGGGGTCCACGGCGGGGGGGAGTCCACGGCGGGGGGGAATCCACGGCGGGGGGGAGTCCACGGCGGGGGGGAGTCCACGGCGGGGGGGAGTCCACGGCGGGGGGGAGTCCACGGCGGGGGGAGTCCACGGCGGGGGGAGTCCACGGCGGGGGGAGTCCACGGCGGGGGGTCCACGGCGGGGGGGGGATCCACGGCGGGGGGGGAATCCACGGCGGGGGGGGAATCCACGGCGGGGGGGAGTCCACGGCGGGGGGGAGTCCACGGCGGGGGGGAGTCCACGGCGGGGGGAGTCCACGGCGGGGGGAGTCCACGGCGGGGGGTCCACGGCGGGGGGATCCACGGCGGGGGGAGTCCACGGCGGAGGGGGGGTGGGGGAGTCCACAGCGGGGGGAGTCCACGGCGGGGGGGGAAGTCCACGGCGGGGGGAGTCCACGGCGGGGGGGAGTCCACGGCGGGGGGGAGTCCACAGCGGGGGGGTGGGGGAGTCCACGGCGGGGGGGAGTCCACGGCAGGGGGTCCACAGCAGGGGGGGAGTCCACGGCGGGGGGGGTGGGGGAGTCCACGGCGGGGGGGAGTCCACGGCGGGGGGGAGTCCACGGCTGGGGGAGTCCACGGCGGGGGGGAGTCCACGGCGGGGGAGTCCACGGCGGGGGGTCCACAGCAGGGGGGGAGTCCACGGCGGGGGGGTGGGGGAGTCCACGGCGGGGGGGAGTCCACGGCGGGGGGGAGTCCACGGCGGGGGGGAGTCCACGGCTGGGGGAGTCCACGGCTGGGGGAGTCCACGGCGGGGGGGAGTCCACGGCGGGGGGGTGGGGGAGTCCACGGCGGGGTGGGGGGCTGGGAGGCCTCCTCACTCACAGGATTCTGACACACACAGCCCCTCCCTCTGCCTGGAAGTCACTCCTATGTGTCCTTTCCCCCAAGGGACACAGCGGGGCCTGCTGGCTGCCGACGCTGGTGGCTGTGGCCTGACACGAGTTAGCAAGCCTGAGGACCGTGCTGGGGCAGTGGCCCCTGTCACTTCTGGCCTCCTGTGTGGTCTAGGAGATACCTTAGGCACATTAAGTGTTGTAGATCACTTTTTTGTTTTTATGTCGGTCATGGGGCTTGAACTCTGGGCCTGGGCGCTGTCCCTCAGCTCTTCAGCTCAAGGCGAGTGCTCTACTGCTTAAGCTACCACGCTACTTCCGGTTTTCTAGTGGTTTATTAGAGATCAGAGTCTTATGGACTTTCCTGTCCAGGCTGGCTTTGAACTGTGATCCTCAGATCTCAGCCTCCTGGGTAGCTAGGATGACAGGCGTGAGCCACCGGCACCTGCCCATAGATAACTTTTAAGACATGGCTTTACTTTACCTGTGTTTTGCCTGAGAGCTTAAACCACCTTGAGCCGACCCTCCCATTGCACTCTCCTACCCCTCTGGCCATGTTCAAGACTAGATCCTGGAGGCTGGCCAGGTGGTATCTCAGGAGCAGAAGCCCCTGGCTGGCATCTTCTCTGAACATCCTACTTTGGAGGGGAGCACTGGGAACACTAGGCACATGCACTGTGAGGAGGGGAGGAGAGCAGGGCTGTGTGTCCCGCGTGCGTGGTGGAGCCTGGGGATGAAAGCCCGTGCTGAGTGTGGTCAGGACAGACTTTCTGAGGACACTGCAGTGGGTCTGGAGGACAAAGGGGAGGAGGCCATCTCCCCGAGAGAGCCCAGGCCATGTGCAGCTCTGAGACGCCCAATAAGAAAGGCATGCTTGGGCCACATGGAGCGGAAGGAGTGTGGGGTGATGGTGGGAGCCCATAAAGAAGAGTTGGGATTTTACGCTCTTTTCCCTCAGGCCAGGGACCCCTTCCCACCTTGCTGGCTCACAGGCTGAGCTGTGACTCGGAGCGCTGTGTCCCTCCCTCTGGGAAGTGTGCTCTGGGCTGAGTCTCTCAGGACACGGCTGCCTGTGGCTTCTCGGCCCTCTCATTGGCAGGTCTGCACTTGTTTGGGGCACCGGAGGTCAGTTCCTCGATGCGTCCCAGAACAGCTCACGGCAGCCTCGCCTGGCTGACAAAGCCTTTGGGACTTCTCTGGGCATTGCCAGTGAATCTGCCCGTGGAGTGTCCACTAGTAAAGACAATACACTCCTGGTCCAGGCAGCTAGAGGTGGGGCACTGGGAGGACCAGGGTCCTGGAAGTCCTGAATAAAATGTTCAGCCTGTGAGCGAAGGGGTGGCTTCCTGGCCCTGCTGCTGCGGAGGCCTCTTGGCCTAGTGTGGTGTGGGACACTGGGACAGGAAATCAGAGTTGTAAAACTCTTGGGCTTCCATAATAACCTCCAAGATCTTCTACTGACAAGAAGAAAACTGACAGAAGATGTTTCCAGACAGAATATAGAGGAATAAGTTTTCTCAGGGAGGAGGTGTTGAAAATCACGGGGAGAAGAGCAGGAATAGGTGAGGGAGACAGACAGATCTAACGGAGGGAAGGATGGGAGGCCGGGCAGGCAGAGCCTGAGTGAAAAGCTGCTCTAAGCCAGCAAAACTGTGGTTATCTGTCATAGCACCAACAGGAAACTAATGCCAACTCTCATGGAGACGTTCTTCATTTTGCACCAACTTCACGTCTTGAACTAAAATGCTTCAAAGAAACCACCATCTCACTGGGTCTGCAGAGTTCCACAGCACAAACATACTTAGCAACAGGATGTGTGCAAGGTGACAGGGCAGGCAGAGGTCAGCGCCTCCTGTGGAAGAGAAGCAGAGGAGGGCCATTGTGGTACACATTGCTCAGCTTAATTATAACCTCGGCATTCACATGTGGGCACCAGCGGTGTCTCAGGGCTGAAGCGAGTGTCCTGTTGCTCAAGGTCACAAAGCTGGGTGTGGGTAGTGTGGTCAAGCTGAGACTCCACACAGGAGATGGCTGCCCTTGTGATTCCATCCTCAGGTGCAATGGAATAGGTCTGAAAGCCAGGCCAGCAGTCTTAGTGCTGAGCACATTTAGAGCCGACCAGGACTTTATTATTCCACAAAAGAATCAGATTGTGCTGGTGGAATGCAAGGTTGCAAATCTAAGGTGGTTCCACAGCCTGGACTCCTGACACCTCCACCTTTTTGAGGTGCTTTTTCTGTACATACGGAGGAAGAGGAGATGGAAGGGGAAAGATGGAGGAGAAGGGGATGGAGGGGGAAAGATGGAGGAGGGGCTGCTAAGGGAAGTACTAAATGCTCTTGGCAAGAGGAAGAGGAGCGTTGTGGGAGGGTGGTGGAGAAAGAGGCAGGGGGTGAAAAGTGCAGGTTCGGGGCACCTGACCGCAGCAGGAAAAGGCTGGCAAACCTGCAGCGTTTGGAGGGGGTTTGGTTGCTGTTTTCCAAGACGGAAAGGCCTAGAGAGGTTTCAGAGCAGAGCATACGAAGCCCAAATGAGGAAAGAAGTTGCGCTAGTGAGACGGAGCTGCCGGAGCCAGGGCCAGCAGTGGGGCCAGGGTGGACTTGAGACGGAGCTGCCGGAGCCAGCAGTGGGGGCCAGGGTGGACTTGAGATGGAGCTGCCGGAGCCAGCAGTGGGGCCAGGGTGGACTTGAGACGGAGCTGCCGGAGCCAGCAGTGGGGCCAGGGTGGACTTGAGACGGAGCTGCCGGAGCCAGGGCCAGCAGTGGGGGCCAGGGTGGACTTGAGATGGAGCTGCCGGAGCCAGCAGTGGGGGCCAGGGTGGACTTGAGATGGAGCTGCCGGAGCCAGCAGTGGGGCCAGGGTGGACTTGAGACGGAGCCAGGGCCAGCAGTGGGGCCAGGGTGGACTTGAGACGGAGCTGCCGGAGCCAGCAGTGGGGCCAGGGTGGACTTGAGATGGAGCTGCCGGAGCCAGCAGTGGGGCCAGGGTGGACTTGAGATGGAGCTGCCGGAGCCAGCAGTGGGGGCCAGGGTGGACTTGAGACAGAGCTGCCGGAGCCAGAGCCAGCAGTGGGGCCAGGGTGGACTTGAGATGGAGCTGCCGGAGCCAGCAGTGGGGGCGAGGGTGGACTTGAGATGGAGCTGCTGGAGCCAGGGCCAGCAGTGGGGCCAGGGTGGACTTGGGCTCCATAGTGAGGGACAGTGTCCTCTCCTCAAGGCAGGAGGGGGTGGGAGGAGGGAGGTCAGCCTCCACAGGGTCCCACACAGGTACCCACGGTGGTCACGGAGCTCTAACCTGACTCTTCCACGGCAAAGTCTGCAGCCATGTGTGCCACCTCAGGTGGAGGAGCAGGACACAGGTGTGCCCTCTGAAGGAGGGGCTTTGAAGACAGGGCTGGAAGGCGGTCTGGGATTAAGGCCCGTGGGGCCTCTCTCTGGCTCTGCTTCTCACCTGCCTGGGCAACAGTCTTCCACGGCCTCTGAGGAGAGACCAGCCCTGAGGTTGCTTAGCACCTCTGCTCACATCCTGTGGCCAGGCTAACTGCGTGGAGGATGGGAACTGTAGCTTCCCTGGGATGCCCAGCTAACACATGGGCGCAGAAAAGGGACAGATATCAGGGGACCATTCGCTGTGTCTGAAATGGGATGTGTCGGGCAGGTGACTTTGCCTGGGCTTTATTCGTCTATTGAATGGCACCAGCAGGTCCCAGGCATGTGGCCTGGTGATGAATACGGCCTGGCTGTGGGGCACGCGGAGGGGCCCAGCATTTCCCACCTCCTCCTCTGTCTAGGGAAGCCGCTGTACCTGCACATCGGGGAGGAGATAGATGGCGTGGACATGCGGGCGGAGGTCGGGCTCCTCAGCCGGAACATCGTGGTGATGGGGGAGGTAGAGGACAAGTGCTACCCCTACAACAACCATGTCTGCAGCTTCTTCGACTTCGACACCTTCGGGGGTCACATCAAGGTGCGGGCTGCCTGGCTGAGGCCGCTAGCTCAGCCGCGAGACTTCCCAAGGCGGCAGCCGGTGGGCAGCGGCTCCTTCCCGCGCGTAGAATGGGCACAGTAAGGCCTCGCGTGTCTCCCTCACTGCAACAAGGGCCAGGCCTCAAACCAGGTGCACAGAGCACCTTCAGTGTAAGGAGAACCCGGGTGGGCGTGGCAAGACTGTGAGAAGAACGTCTGTGCGCTCTGGCCCCTCGGGGCAGGAGGCACCGTGGGGTTCCTCTGACTCTGACTCTCCTCCCCCAGTTTGCCCTGGGCTTTAAGGCTGCACATCTTGAGGGTGTGGAGCTCAAGCACATGGGGCAGCAGCTGGTGGGCCAGTACCCAATTCACTTCCACCTGGCTGGAGACGTGGACGAGAAAGGAGGCTACCACCCACCCACGTACATCAAGGACCTCTCCATCCACCACACATTCTCCCGCTGCGTCACCGTCCACGGCTCCAATGGCCTGTTGGTGAGTACCTGCTGGGAGGCTGTCTTATCTAGACAGGCCAGGGCCGAGGATTGAACCGTCCTTGGCTCTGCTGTAACGGTTATCAAAAGTGCAGGACACCATGCAAACTGGCAGAAGGTAGGAGCGTGCCAAGCTACAGAGGTAGGAAGTGACTCCCCAGCTAAGGCTGCTCATCGGGATAATGCCCCACATGGCAGGTTTGTTGGCTTAGACAAGGTGTTGTGCTAAGATGGTAGGCCATGGCACCTCTCGGACAGACTTGAGGTGGAGGTGGCTGTGGTCCCTGTGCTACAGCAAGAATTCCTTCAAAGCAGACCCTGCAGAAAGAAATGCTTCCCCAGCAACCTAGAGTATGTGCCGGAGGCTCACCTTGAGTCTTCACAGATAATTTTTACACAAAACTCCTTCTCTAAATGACCTAAACCTACCTCCTCTGTACACTTTAAGGCTAGTGCCTGGTTTGAAAGGTTTGCCAATGGCTGGCTGTTTGGGAAGATGGCTTTTACCTGACAAAGATATCGTTCTCATTTAGAAGAACCTGCTTGGTAGCTCATGGTTGTCTTCTCCATGGTCCTAAGGCAGGCTGGATTCCAGGTGGGACTGGACTAGCTGAACTGGGAAGGAGGGCTGAGTGTAAATGCCTGCCCAAAGGGGTCCTGCAGCCTGGAGCCGCCGTGTGTGCTCTAGTGGCCACTTCTCTGGATTGGGTGCTAGGTTAGAGAGCCCTGCACAAACTGACCATCAGAGGGGAGGAGAGCCTTCTTCCCTCGCAAGACCCCCCGCCAAGGGCAGGCTCCTCCCTCCTGGGAGGCTCCCTGGCCTCTGAGTTGGGTATGACTTAGTATTTGCTGGGTGAATGCATGAGCACATGAGATGTCGGGTGGCGAGTGAGAGGCTCCTGTCTGGACACCGTAGATCAAGGACGTTGTGGGGTACAACTCCCTGGGGCACTGCTTCTTCACGGAGGACGGACCAGAGGAGCGCAACACCTTTGACCACTGCCTGGGCCTCCTCGTGAAGTCGGGAACCCTTCTCCCCTCTGACCGGGACAGCAGGATGTGCAGGGCCATCACAGACGACTCCTACCCGGGGTACGTCCCCAAGCCCCGGCAGGACTGCAAGTAAGTTCCACCATGTCCATGACCTGGGGGTGTGAGCCAAGCACTCACTTCCCGGCCTGTGCGCTCCAGCCTGGGGCACTCACGCCTGGGTGTGAGCCCACTGCTCCCCATCTCCGCCCGTGCTCCCTCCCGGCCCAGTGCTCCCCTCCCAGCCCAGTGCTCCCTCCCAGCCCAGTGCTCCCTCCCTGCCTGGTGCTCCCTCCCAGCCCGTGCTCCCTCCCAGCCCGGTGCTCCCTCCCTGCCTGGCGCTCCCTCCCAGCCTGTCCTCCCTCCCAGCCCAGTGCTCCCTCCCAGCCCAGTGCTCCCTCCCAGCCCAGTGCTCCCTCCCAGCCCAGTGCTCCCTCCCAGCCCAGTGCTCCCTCCCAGCCCAGTGCTCCCTCCCGGCCGGCAGCCGACTCTCCCCGGGCCCCTGAGCAATGTGTCCACAGCTCCCCCTTCCAGGATGGAAGGCGGCGTCCATCCTCTCCTCTCCGTCTGTCCGGAGCTCGCCGCTCAGCCCAGGACTACACAGGATACAGGATGCACCGTGTTCCTGGCTGAGAGGAGCGGGTGCACAGCGTGTCCGCGCGTGTGCACCGCAGCCCCGGCACGGGCAGGGCTCTGTGCAGTCCGGGGCCTGGAAACAGCCAACTTCCGGGGCCTGGAAACGGCCGACTTCCGGGGCCTGGCCTGGAAACGGCCGACTTCCGGGCCTTCTAGCAGAGCCAGGTCTGGGGTCTTGGACCACTTCCGTTCCCCAATCCTGAGCCTTCCCTGCTGATGGCCCTTCGTGGGAAGGCTGGGTTCAGGAGCACACCCCAGCATTTCCCAAGTCGCCGCCTAGTGCTCAGGCCGGTTCCGGCCGGCCTGCCATGGCTATCCTACACCGCGAGGGCTGTGGTCCTCCAGGTGACAACGTCCACCTGTCTCCTGCCCACACGTCAGTGTCCACCTGTCCCCCACAGCGCTGTGTCCACCTTCTGGATGGCCAACCCCAACAACAACCTCATCAACTGCGCAGCGGCAGGGTCCGAGGTGAGCAGAAGTCGGGGCAGGGGCAGGGCTGGGTCTGCCCGCAAGCACCGGGTGCTAGGCCAGGTCCAGCTGCTTAAGTAAACACCTGGGAATGAGGCGTCCTCTGATGCACTGTCCCATGACGACCTCAGCCCTCCGTAAGACCAGCGACCGTGCCTGGTGAGGGCTGAGCGCTTGGTGGTGGTTCACGGTGGAGTGAGATTATGTATTTGGTGCCAGGAGGGTGCATCTGTTCTTGGGTCGGTGCTGTGGCATGGGCACCGCTCCTCTCCAGCGAGGCCAGGGAGGAGAGTGTGGCTAGAGCCAGCCCTCCTGCTGCTGGCCCTGCCCAGCTCCCTGGCCCTGCCCCACTGGTCCCCTCGGGGCTGCAGCTTCCACATGCCTAGGATGGAGGGGGCTGCTCACAGAGCCCGTGGGGGAGAGCCCATGGGGAGCTCAGCCCACAGGGGCTCGGACCCCACGGCACCATGTCAGGTGAACCCGCAGATTCAGGTGCCTCAGACGCTGCTGTGGCCCCAGGTGGAGGTGCATGTGGCGGTGGCCGCCAGGGCTGATTTGGATCACAGACTTAGATCCACCCCAGCCTGGTCACCATGCCACACCCCGGCTGGTGCTGAATCCTGGGGCTTTCCCCTTGTGCCCTGCCTGACAGGAAACGGGATTTTGGTTCATTTTCCACCACGTTCCCACGGGCCCTTCCCAGGGGATGTACTCCCCTGGCTACTCAGAACACATTCCCCTGGGCACGTTCTACAACAACCGAGCACATTCCAACTACCGGGTAAGTGTCCAGATCTCAGATGTGCCTCTGCACCAGCCTCCCCGCTGGCCTCCCCTCCAGCCTCCCTGCCACTGGCCCCTCCTGCCGGCCTCCCCTCCAGCCTCCTCTGCCAGCCTCCCGCTGGCTGCCCTGCCGGGCTCCCTGTCACTGGCCTCCCCGCTGGCCTCCCCTCCAGCCTCCTCTGCCAGCCTCCCGCTGGCTGCCCTGCCAGGCTCCCTGTCACTGGCCTCCCCCCAGCCTCCCCTCCAGCCTCCTCTGCCAGCCTCCCGCTGGCTGCCCTGCCAGGCTCCCTGTCACTGGCCTCCCCCCAGCCTCCCCTCCAGCCTCCTCTGCCAGCCTCCCGCTGGCTGCCCTGCCAGGCTCCCTGTCACTGGCCCCTCCTGCCGGCCTCCCCTCCAGCCTCCTCTGCCAGCCTCCCACTGGCTGCCCTGCCAGGCTCCCTGTCACTGGCCTCCCCCCAGCCTCCCTTCCAGCCTCCTCTGCCAGCCTCCCGCTGGCTGCCCTGCCAAGCTCCCTGTCACTGGCCTCCCCCCAGCCTCCCTTCCAGCCTCCTCTGCCAGCCTCCCGCTGGCTGCCCTGCCGGGCTCCCTGTCACTGGCCTCCCCCCAGCCTCCCCTCCAGCCTCCTCTGCCAGCCTCCCGCTGGCTGCCCTGCCAAGCTCCCTGTCACTGGCCTCCCCGCTGGCCTCCCCTCCAGCCTCCCCGCCGGCCTCCCAGCTGGGTCTGCAGGTAATTAGCGCCAGAACCCCCACGTTCCTAATGGTGATCCAGAAGTGGCGTGCCCAGGCCCAGGCCCTTCTCCAGGAGGCCCTCCTGAAGGCCTTGTTCTGGGGGACCCTCCTGAGCACCCTTCCCCGGGAGACTCGGCTGAGAGCCCTGCTCCGGCCCTTGGGGCATTTGGCTGGAGCCCAAACGGGCAGAGCCACCCTCCTGGGGTCCCCTCTCCCCACCAGACGTCCCCAGCGGAACACTTGTTTTTATCTTGAGTGCTCATGATAAGGAAAATCAGGACGTGGTTCTAAGGACATGTCACTGCCCTCTGCCTCGTGGCTTCTGTCCCTTCTTGACTCACTTCTTGGGACATGGACGATGTCTCTGTTGTACAGCTAAGTCACGGGTGGGAAATGAGAAACGCCTCCACACCGGGTGCTGGAGCCAAGGGAGAAGGGGCGGAGAGACTTAGGTCTGTCAGGGTCTCCGGGGGCCGTGGGGCCCCGTGGGGCGGAGAGGTCAGCGTCTCTAGCGCTGTTTGCCCATCTGTCATGCGAGACTCCTTGCTCCAGATCTAGTCCCATCCTGTACGAGACAGGTTCTTCCCCTCCCTCACCGTGACTCTCACTCAGTTCTGTCTGAGAGCAGGCTGTTTTTGCCGGCACGTTCTATGGCACGTGGTGAGTGAGGCTGGTGGGAGAGCAGTCATGGCTAATCTGTCCCTGGATCTCTCTCTCCCAGGCTGGCATGATTATAGACAACGGAGTCAAAACCACAGAGGCCTCGGCCAAGGACAAGCGGCCTTTCCTCTCCATCATTTCTGCTCGGTGAGGGCCCGTGGGATGTTGAGCTTCCTCCCCCTGGCCTCCGCTTCCGCTTCAATGTTCAGCAAGCACCTGTCTGTCTGTGCGCTTGGCCAGTTTCTGGGAATACCTTGGTGAAAAAAAATCTCAGCAAAGCAAGGTCTGAATTAAGATTCAGACTCCAAATAGCCAAAAGGAGACAGGAACTCCGAGTGGTGTCTGGACCCCTCATCCAAGCCAGCTCTGGGCTGGGCTGTGGGGAGGGTGGCTGCTAGAGATGTCCTCTGATCAGACCCCACTGTGGTGCCACAGGCAAGGCCTGCCCGGTGGCCTTGGGCACCCTCCTGCCCCTGGCAGGGCCAGCTGCTGTCCGTCGGGGCTGCCCGGGTGCCCTGGGTGAGGGGCCCACACGGCAGGGCTCGGGGGTCAGTGCAGAGCCTGCAGCCCTGTGCCTCCCTCTCGTGCTCCAGGTACAGCCCTCATCAGGACGCGGACCCCCTGAAGCCCCGGGTGCCAGCCATCATCAAGCACTTCACTGCCTACAAGAACCAGGACCACGGGGCCTGGCTGCGTGGCGGGGACGTGTGGCTGGACAGCTGCAGGTGGGCGTGGGTGGCCGCAAGGCCCTCCACAAGTGCAGACCGCTGGCGTGGTCAGCAGCTTGCAGCAGGGCGGCCTTTGGAGGACCCCTCGAAGTGTCCCTCCGGGCTCCCCCAGAGGTGGGGGCAATTTTGGACACAACTGCCATGGTCCAGAGAAAGAAAATTAGAGACGACGAAAGCACGGCTCCCTTCAGAGTTGGGCATGGCTCGTTCTAGAGGTGCCAACGGAGAGGTGGTGGCCGTCCCCAGTTTGGGCGGTGGGCATGAGGAGTGGCTAGTTCTAGAATCCCAGCCGTTGGTGGAGACAGAGGCTGTGGTCTTGGAAAGGCTCCCAGGGCCAGGAGAGATGAGGGGCCAGGAGAGCTCTGAATGGCCCTCCATGGGAGGTCCAGCCCTGGGTTTGGGTTTGATGTATAACAGATCCACAGGCCCTGGGGTATAGAAAGCAGGGTGGAGGAGATGGGGCTGGCAGGGACAGAAGAAGGGAGGGGTGAGTTCGTTCTGCCCCAGGACAAAGGAAATGCAGGCAGCACAGACCTAAGGCTCAAGTCCAGGTCTGCACGGTCCCTCCTCATCTAGACCCGAAAGAGCATAACAGAAAGAGGAGGGGACTACTACACACCCAGCACATTTCTTCCTGCTCATCTCGGGTCCAGCGTCTACCTGACTCCTAGGAAACTCGGGAATAGGTTGAGATGGTGGCAAGGGTGCTCACAGGGAAACTGGAACTATATCCACACTCCTGCGTGCTCAGGGTTGTCCCGAGAGTGGGAAGGCCCCAGTTCTCCTGACCCGATCCTGGAATCTCAGACAGAGAGGGAGGCCCTGGGGCTGAGACTCCAGGCCCACTGAGGCCGGATGGGGGTCACTGGACACGCAGTAAGAAGGCACTCGCTGTCTCCTCCCCTCCCCAGGTTTGCTGACAACGGCATTGGCCTGACCCTAGCCAGGTAAGAGCTCGCGTCGCGTGCCCGCCCTCTGGGGAGCTTGTCCCAGAGCCTCTCACCCGACACCTCCCCTCCGCAGCGGTGGGACCTTTCCCTACGATGACGGCTCCAAGCAGGAGATAAAGAACAGCCTGTTTGTTGGTGAGAGCGGCAATGTGGGCACAGAAATGATGGACAACAGGATCTGGGGCCCAGGCGGCTTGGACCACAGTGGAAGGACCCTTCCTATCGGCCAGTAGGTTTGCACACCGGGGGAGCTGCCTTGGGTTGGCGGTACAGCGGACAGAAAGAAATGAGTGGGTGGCTTCTTCCTGTTGACCATGAAATCAGATACCCCCCCCCCCAAGAAATCTCTGGATGACTGAGCTGACAGTTGAAGGGTGAGACCCAGAACAGGAGAGAGACCTGAAACCACAGCGTTAAATAAGAGGGGAGCTGGGGCTGGGAAGGTGCTCAGTGGTAGAGCGCTTGCCTTGCATGCATGAGGCCCTGGGTTCGATTCCTCAGCACCACATAAGCAAAAAAGAAAAAAGCGGGAAGTGGCACTGTGGCTCAAGTGGTAGAGCGCTAGCCTTGAGCTGAAGAGCTGAGGGACAGCGCCCAGGCCTAGAGTTCAGGCCCCACGACCGGACCCAAAAAAAAAATAATAAGGGGAGCAGAGGAAGAGGGGCCTGGCCTCTCCTAGAAACAGACATCGCTTCTGCCTTCCTTCCACATGTCCTTCATCTGGAAGGCAGGCTCTGACTCAGAGGCATGCAGGCCAGCATGAGCATATGTCTGGGGCATGAAGGAAAAGCAAGCCTGGATTCTTGGTCAGGCCTGAGAAAAGCCACCAGAAAATCCAGCCAGGCCCTCGGGTCTCAGGCCCCCGTGTTGCCCAGAAGTCTGAAGCAAATGGGAAAAGCACTTCTGAGCATCCTCCTCCTAGCCAGGACAGGGCCACGCTTCCTCTCCACACATTCTTCCTGATTCTTCCTCCCTCATGTCCTGTCCATGCCCTTCCTACCTCCTCCTCCCGACGCCAGGCCCTCCTGGGCCCTGTGCTACCCCACAGTCTTGCCTTCCCTGCAGGGCTTGCCAGCTCTTACAGCAAAGCTCAGGAAGTTGCACTGTCTCCCTTTTCCTCTCTTTTCCAAGCAGAGTAAGCTCATCTGGGTCCCAATCTGATTAAATTGTTATAGCAACAAAAATGAAGATGGTGACTAACTGTGCGGCCCTCCCCAGGGACAGAATTGGCACTCTCCAGTGTTTACAGTATTGTACCCAATGACTTCACATGGTGGGAAAATCGGGAGAAATGTTTGAATACAGGAACTTCCAGAAACCTCAAGCTAGTAATCACATACTTATCCATCTATTCATCTATCCATGTATCCATCCATCCAACCATCCATCCATCCATCCATCCAACCACCTATCTAACCACCTACCCAACCACTCACCCACATATCCATTCATCCACCCATCCACCCACCCACCCACCCACCTACCCATCCATCCATCCACCCACCCACCCACCCACCCATCCATCCATCCATCCATCCATCCATCCATCCATCCATCCATCCACCTATCTAACCACCTATCCAACCACTCACCCACCCATCCATCCACCCACCCACCCACCTACCCATCCATCCATCCATCCAACCACCTATCTAACCACCTACCCAACCACTCACCCACACATCCATCCATCCACCCATCCACCCACCCACCCATCCACCTACCCATCCATCCATCCATCTACCCATCCATCCATCCACCCATCCATCCATCCATCCATCCATCCATCCACCTATCTAACCACCTATCCAACCACTCACCCACCCATCCATCCATCCACCCACCCACCCACCTACCCATCCATCCATCAATCCATCCAACCATCCAACCATCCTTCCAACCAGCAATCTTTCACTGAACCTGTTCCAAATGTGCCTTCTTAGTGAATTAATGATGAGTCTGTACTGAGTTACAGTGTGAGGTAGAGATCCAGAATTGCTTTACTCAAAAAGATTTTCCTAACACTGACCTCAAAGGCAACCAACGCTTGCTTCCTTACCTCCACAGGGACTTTCCTATTAGAGGGATTCAGTTCTATGACGGCCCTGTCAACATTCAGAACTGTACCTTCCGTAAGTTCGCGGCCCTGGAGGGCCGTCACACCAGCGCCCTGGCCTTCCGTCTGAACAACGCTTGGCAGAGCTGCCCGCACAACAATGTGACCCAAGTTGTCTTTGAGGACGTCCCGGTGCGTGTTGGGCCCTGGCAGGCAAAGCCAGCAAAGCCGGCAAAGCCAGACTTTGGGTGGTGATTCACAGGTTCCCCGGGGCTTGGAGTTTGCACTGTGGGGGTAGACTAGCCTCCTCCACATAGGCTGGGCCATGTCCCAGTTTGCTCTGCATCCAGACTGGAAAAGTACCGGCTAGGTTGCCTTGCAGGTCAAGTGTGGGTGAATACCCCCCCCCCAAACACACACACCACAGGAACTTTCCTCTAACCTCAGGCTCCTGGTCTTATGACCAGGCCACCTGAGTCAGCACAAATAGTCTTAACCATCCCAGAAATTCCCAAGGAGAGTCTTGCTGAAGACGTTGTGTTTAATCTCACCCAGGGGTAGAACGTAAGCGAGGGTCTCCTGGCAGGGCCCAGGCGGGGGAAGAGGAGCCGAGGGCAAGAAGTCCAGGACAAGGCTGGTGCCTGCTGCTTGGGCCTTCCCCCCTCCTCCCCCCCTCCTCCCCGTCCCCTCCCCCCTCCTCCCTGCCCCCTCCCCCTCCTCCTCCTCTCCATCCCCTCCCCCTCCCCCCTCCTCCCCTGGACCCATCGGCCCAGGCATGAGATGCTGAGGCACAAGATGTGAAACTTCAGTCCTTTGTTTTCTTTACTCAAATCACGGAGGGCCTGACGGAGGCAAGGGAGGGAGGTTTCGGGGCTTGTGCAGTGAGATCCACCAGGCAGTGTGTGTGCGTGCATGTGTGTGTGCACACGTGTGCAAACACGGTGCTCTCACCCCGCCCCACGTGTGCAGTGAGGTCCACCAGGCCAGCATTCGCAGTGTGCGTGCATGTGTGCACACATGTGCAAACACGGTGTGTGTGCATGTGTGCACACGTGTGCAAGCACGGTGCTCTCACCCTGCCCCACGTGTGCAGTGAGGTCCACCAGGCCAGCATTCGCAGTGTGTGTGCGTGCGTGTGCACACATGTGCAAACATGGTGTGCGTGCGTGTGTGTGCACACGTGTGCAAGCACGGTGTGTGTGCATGTGTGCACACGTGTGCAAGCACGGTGCTCTCACCCTGCCCCACGTGTGCAATGAGGTCCACCAGGCCAGCATTCGCAGTGTGTGTGCGTGCGTGTGCACACATGTGCAAACATGGTGTGCGTGCGTGTGTGTGCACACGTGTGCAAGCACGGTGTGTGTGCATGTGTGCACACGTGTGCAAGCACGGTGCTCTCACCCTGCCCCACGTGTGCAATGAGGTCCACCAGGCCAGCATTCGCAGTGTGCATGCATGTGTGCACACATGTGCAAACACGGTGCACTCACCCCCGCCTCATGCGTGTGCACACATGTGCAAGCACGGTGCTCTCGCCCTGCCCCACGCGTGTGCACACATGCCATCAACACCTCTTCTTCTAGTCCCATTCGGCCCCTCCCTGTGGTCAGTGCCCATCCGGCTCTGTGTGTGTATGTGTGTGTGTATGTGTGCGTGTGTGTGCGTGTCAGACCTGGCCTGCAGGTCCCGGCAGTGCTGGCCAGAGCCTTGCAGTGGGCTGGCGGGAGTGGAGGCATGGTGACCTTGGACCCCTCCCGCGGTGTCTGAGGTCGGCTCCTGGCTCCCTGCAGTGCCCGGAGCAGCTTGGCTGGGCGGCCTGCGTGTCGTGGAGATGGAAAACGCCGCTGCCTGCAGCTTTCCTTCACCTTTTGGCCCTGGCTCATTTTCCTGGCTCTGTTCAGATTACTTCTAGAGTGTTCTTTGGAGAGCCTGGACCGTGGTTCAACCAGCTGGACATGGATGGGGACAAGACCTCTGTGTTCCATGACGTGGACGGCTCCGTGTCTGAGTACCCTGGCTCCTACCTCACCAAGGAGGACAACTGGCTGGTGCGGCACCCAGACTGCATCAACGTCCCCGACTGGAGGGGGGCCGTCTGCAGCGGGCGCTACGCACAGGTGGGTGCTGTTCTCGCTCGCTCACACTCACACACGCACACACACACACGCACGCACGCACGCACACACACGCACACACACACACACGCATGCACGCACACACACACCACATGACTGGAGGGGGGCCGTCTGCAGCGGGCGCTACGCACAGGTGGGTGCTGTTCTCGCTCGCTCACACTCACACACGCACACACACACACACACGCACGCATGCACACACACACCACATGACTGGAGGCCGTCTGCAGCGGGCGCTACGCACAGGTGGGTGCTGTTCTTGCTCGCTCACACTCACACACGCGCACACACACACACGCACACACACACACACACACGCACACACACGCACACACCACATGACTGGAGGGGGCCGTCTGCAGCGGGCGCCATGCACAGGTGGGTGCTGTTCTCGCTCGCTCACACTCACACGCGCACACACACACACACGCACACACACACGCACACACCACATGACTGGAGGGGGCTGTCTGCAGCGGGCGCCATGCACAGGTGGGTGCTGTTCTCGCTCGCGCTCACTCACACGCGTGCACACACACACACGCACACACGCACACACCACATGACTGGAGGGGGCCGTCTGCAGCGGGCGCCATGCACAGGTGGGTGCTGTTCTCGCTCGCGCTCACTCACACGCGTGCACATACACGCACACACGCACACGCACACACCATGACTGGAGGGGGCCGTCTGCAGCGGGCGCCATGCACAGGTGGGTGCTGTTCTCGCTCGCGCTCACTCACACACGCGCACACACACACGCACACACGCACACGCACACACCACATGACTGGAGGGGGGCCGTCTGCAGCGGGCGCCATGCACAGGTGGGTGCTGTTCTCGCTCGTGCTCACTCACACACACACACACACACGCACGCACACACACACACGCACACACACACACACACGCACACACCACATGACTGGAGGGGGCCGTCTGCAGTGGGCGCCATGCACAGGTGGGTGCTGTTCTCGCTCGCGCTCACTCACACGCGTGCACACACACGCACACACGCACACGCACACACCACATGACTGGAGGGGGCCGTCTGCAGCGGGCGCCATGCACAGGTGGGTGCTGTTCTCGCTCACGCTCACTCACACGCGCGCACACTGTCACACATTCACACACATGCATACACACCCTGCCCTTGGTTGCTCACTTGTGTGGACTCACAGTGAGTACCTGCTGTAAGTCCAGCTCTGCATACAGCTAGAGACAGACAGAATTCTTTCTTGGTTCCCTTGCTTTTTATGTTCCCCGTCCCCCAATAAGTTTCCACAGTCAAAACCTTTTGAACCTCAGCTACTTGGGAAGAGGAAGTCAATAGCAGTCCAAGCAAAACACTTCTCAAACACCACGCTGGGTGTGGTGGTCCACGCCTGCCACGCCATACAGGGGAGAATGGCATCCAGAGCCAACCCCAGGCAAAGAGGACTCAACAATGCCCGGAGCTGGGACTCACGCAGTGGCTTCTGCCTGCTGAGGCTCTGCCTGGCGAGGCTGAGCTCCAACCCCAAACTGCCGAAGGATCACTCAGTAGCAGAGTGTGGGGGCTCAGAGCGAGAGGCCGGGCTGCATCCAGTGCTTACCCCCCCCCCCCCAGCCCCAGATTCTGCCTTAGGGCAGCAGACAAACCTCACTGTGACACTGCAGGGTGACTTCAGAGAGTGCAGAGGATGTGTCTCCGCAGTCCTGGGCCGCAGAATCACCCTGCACGTGCCCTTAGCCCTTCTAGCCGTCTTGCCAAAACAGGAGGTGTTAACTTCAATACTATCTTTTTTTTTTTGGTCAGTCGTGGGGCTTGAACTCTGGGCCTCGGCGCTGTCCCTCAGCTCTTCAGCCCAAGGCTAGCGCTCTACTTGAGCCACAATACCACTTCCTGTTTTCTGGTGGTTTATTGGAGATAAGGGTCTCAGAGACTTTCCTGCCCGGGCTGGCTTTGAACCGCGATCCTCAGATCTCAGCCTCCTGAGTAGCTAGGATGACAGGCGTGAGCCACCGGTGCCTGGCAACTTCAGTACTATTTTATTTCACGACATATACTCAAAGAACTAGCATCTCAACAAGTAACCAGTACAACTGTTAATTAGTGAAATATCTAGTTTTGGGTCCTAAAACTCCAAACACCACCAATTACTTTATATTTACAGTGTACTCGCTATGGGGGTGATTTGCAATAAAGTGAAATTCAACCCCACCAAAACAGACAAGAGGTAGGGCGGTGTCTGCACAGGCCTGAACGGCCGGGGGAGACCTTAGTTACATTTTGGAGAGTGGGAAAATATTATACCACTTTTGTTTTGAATGTTAAATTAATTAAAATTAAGACTCAGGATTCTGCCGGGTGCCAGTGTCTCAACAACGCCTGTCATCCTAGCCACCCAGGAGGCTGGGACCTGAGAATCTCAGTTCAAAGCCAGCCTACTCAGGAAACTCTGAGACTCTCATCTCCAAGTAACCACCAGAAAACCGGAAGTGGCATGGTGGCTCAGAGGGCTCGAGTGCTAGCCTTGAGCAGAAAAGCTCAAGGGCGTACCTAGGCCCCATGGCTGACCTCCCCTCCAACAAAAAAATGGGGCTCAGGATCTTGTCCACACTGCTCAGTGGCTGTGTATGGCCAGTGCCACCCCAGCCGGGCCTGAAATGGGGCAAGTGTCACTGCTGGTCTGATGGGTAAATGGCTGAGGGGTTAGGAGGGAGGTCTGGTGTCCAGTGACAGAGGGAAGCCATCTCCAGGACTGTCCCGCAAGCTGGACACTATCATCACACCGCAGGCCTCAGGAACGGGCCCTGGAGAGTGGCCGAGGGAGGGTCAGGGCATGGACATGGGTGACCCAGGCACAGGGCCTGGCGGGAGCCCGTGACAGGTGGGAGGGGCTGGGGTTGGCAGGAAGAGGACCAGACAGGAAGTGAGAGCAGGAAGTGGGGGATCTCTCTGTGCAGAGGTCAGAGGGGCCGAGGAGGTCTGCAGTAGCAGGGGCAGGGGCTGCCGTAGAGGTGGAGGCCCAGTGGAGGCCCCACTCTGCCGGGCCGGGGTCTCCCGAGCCCCACTCCAGAGCCCTGGGAGAGGAGGTGGACCGGGTGATCCAGGGCCAGGCTCTGCCACGTTTGTGGACAGGGCAAGGGCCGCCATGCCCCGGGAGTGGCTGCTGGCCTGGCAGTCCAAGGGTGATAGTAGGGAAGGGAAGTCCGAGGCAGCTGATAGACAGGGCTGGGCCTGGGTAACTGGCGGGCGACACACACTACCCTCAGCACGCGGCAGGCTGTGCTGTCTGAGCTCTGCGCATCCCACCCTGTGTAGAAAGGGCTGATGGTTAACCTGCCAGGCTATCCCGATGGTTAACGATGACTAGTAACCTCCTCCCTTTGCTGAATAGCCTTGCCACGTGGATCTCTTACCTTTGGATGCTTGGACAGGGCTGTGGTTCTCGTGACAGCTGTGATAAAGCTGGAACGTGCGGGGGAGAGGCCCGGGCTCCCAGCCACACGGGAGCCACTTACTCGGGGCCGTGTTTCCAACCCAGCCAGCTCTGCTCCCAGAGGCCCAATCCAGTCTTGCAGTTTCACCTCTGGATTTTTTGGGTTTTTTTTGCTTTTTGGTCAGTTGTGGGGCCTGAACTCTGGGCCTGGGCGCTGTCCCTCAGCTCTTCAGCTCAAGGCTGGCGCTCTACCACTTTGAGCCACAGCCCCATTTCCAGTTTTCTGGGTGGTTAATTGGAGATAAGAGTCTCACGTACTTTCCTGCCCGGGCTGGCTTTGAACCGCAATTCTCATAGCTCAGCCTCCTGAGTAGCTAGGATGACAGGCGTGAGCCACCAGTGCCCGGCAAGTTTCATCTCTTTTTCCTTTTGTTTTGTTGGACTTTGTTTCTTCTTTTGGTGTTGGGGGCAAACCTAGGACCTTGAAGATGCTAGGCAGGCCCTAAACATCCCAGCCCTTCAGTTTCCTCTCTGAATGCACCAACATGCTCTCGCCAGGGGCCATGGGCGCTGTGTCATGGCCACCAGCGAGACTCAGGACCCCAAGGGACACCCAGCTACCTCTCAGGCAGGAGAGAAGAGTCTTCTCCCCTCTCCAGGCAGGCGGGAGTGGAGAGGAGTCCTCTCTTCCCTGGGTCCTTCCAGGTGTCCTTCCTTTTTCTGGAACTTGCCATCTGACTATTCATCAGCCTCCCCGGGGCTCCATTGGTCAGTTTTGTGGAGTTGCCCGGAAGCACTGGCTGGATTGTGTGGTGCGGCCTGGCTGTGTCCATCGGTGGACAGACATGCCCTTTATTTGGCCTCTTCCGTCCACACTTTCTAAGAAGGGCTCTGTGGAGGGGCAGCGCTGTCTGCAGCCAGACGTTAACCAGGCGCTCTTGGAGTAGTTCCCCATAACGACCTCCTCATGCCTCTCCTTTTTTGGGTTGTAAAAGATGTACATTCAGGCCTACAAGAGCAGCAACCTGCGGATGAAGATCATCAAGAACGACTTCCCCACCCACCCGCTCCACCTGGGGGGCGCCCTTGCCCGCAGCAGCCACTACCAGCAGTACCAGCCCGTGGTCACCCTGCAGAAGGGCTACACCATCCACTGGGACCAGACGGCCCCTGCAGAGCTAGCCATCTGGCTCATCAACTTCAACAAGTGAGTGGGGGCCGGGCCGGGCACACACCACCCAGGGACGGCCCATCTGGCTGTCTCCAACAGTCCCGACGAGGGCCCTTGGGGCAGAGTTCCAGGCTGGGCCCTCCAGACCTGCAGGCTAGCCCCCGGGACCCTGCGGGAGGTGCCTAGAGCGAGTGCCTCACAGGAGCTAGGAATGCAGGTCTCGGCCCATTCTGGGTGTGAGACCCAGGCCGCCCCCACTGGGGTGCAGAACGATGACAATGAATGGATGACAGGACATCAGCCAGTCCTGGCGTTACCCAGCATTCCATGAAGGCCAAACATGTATGCGCATCACAGCCACTATTTACCAGGAGGGAAAGTGAGGCCTTGTGGCACCTGGGTAGGCATTGTGCATCTGTGCTGCAGCAGTGTGTGTGCACTGTGTGTGCAACGCAGCCGTGAGGCAGACGCCGCTCAGCTAGTCACGCAGAGCCCAGATCCTGCAGCTCAAGTGAAGGAAAGGCTTCTCCCCGCCCCCAGCCCCACCTCTGCAACCTGGTCACCAGGTTCTTTCAGAATTCCTCCACAACAACCTCTGGGTTTTGTCTCTCTGGGGTGAGCCCCGGTGTGGAAATGACTACCTTCGGTGCTAGGGGCGACTGGATCCGCGTGGGGCTCTGCTACCCCCGCGGCACCGTCTTCTCCATCCTCTCCGACGTGCACAATCGCCTGCTGAAGCAGACGTCCAAAACCAGCACCTTTGTGAGGACCTTGCAGATGGACAAGGTGGAGCAGAGCCACCCCGGCAGGAGCTACTACTACTGGGACGAGGGCTCAGGGTGAGTGGACACCTAGGGACCAGGGCTCGGGGTGAGTGGACACCCACAGGACCAGGGCCCGGGTTTGTGGACACCTGTGGGACCAGGGCCCGGGGTGATGGACACCTGTGGGACCAGGGCTCGGGGTGATGGACACCTGTGGGACCAGGGCCCGGGTTTGTGGACATCTGTGGGACCAGGGCTCGGGGTGATGGACACCTGTGGGACCAGGGCCCGGGGTTTGTGGACACCTGTGGGACCAGGGCCCGGGGTTTGTGGACACCTGTGGGACCAGGGCCCGGGTTTGTTGGACACCTGTGGGACCAGGGCCCGGGTTTGTGGACACCTGTGGGACAAGGGCCCGGGTTTGTGGACACCTAGGGACTGGGGCCCGGGTTTGTGGACACCTAGGGACTGGGGCCCAGGTGAGCAGCTCATACAAATGCTCACTTTGCATACAAATGCTAAGTACTGTGGTTTCCTCAAAATGTGACTCCCCGCAGCACCAGGTCAGCTTGTCAGCTTCCTATAGGATAATTCCTTTAAGTCAATCCTCAGGTCATTTTCTGAATGAACTATGGTTTGGAGGAAAGTAGGGTGAGGAAGGCTGGGTAGTCTCCTCCGCAGGCGGGAGGCTGGGGACCCACAGTGGGTCCTAGGTGTATCCCGTCCCCTCCCTGTGTCCGGCTGCCATCGGGCGGCCGGGGTGCGGGTGAAGGGAGCTGGTGGCGCCGTGGGGTGTGCAGGGTCCTCTGCACAGAACTGCCGGCACCATGAGCCCTTCCGGCACTGCCTGGGATCGCGGCCAGGCGCCCGTGCTGGGAGGCGGTGCCGGGAGGTGGCCGGTGTCTGGCTGGGCACTGGCATGCAGATGCCGTCACTGGGCCTGGTCCCTCCTGGGTGCAGGCTGCTGTTCCTGAAGCTCAGAGCCCAGAACGAGAGGGAGAGGTTTGCCTTCTGCTCCGTGAAAGGCTGCGAGAGAATAAAGATCAAAGCCCTGCTTCCGAGGAACGCGGGCGTCAGCGACTGCACGGCCGCCTACCCCAGGTTCGCCGAGCGGGCCCTGGTGGACGTGCCCATGCCCAGGAAGCTCTCTGGGGCTCAGCTGGTGAGTGGCGCCGGGGCCGGGCCCTGGGCCTCCACGACCAGACCCCCGGTTGGCTCTGGAGCCCTCATGGCCTCTCTCTGCATTGCTTTCCAGAAGACAAAAGACCGTTTCCTGGAGGTGAAGATGGAGAGCTCCAGGCAGCACTTCTTCCATCTCCGCGGCGACTTCGCTTACGTGGAGGTAACCCCTGTGGGCCGGCCTGGGGGAGGGCGACGTCTCTGAGCAGCTGCACTGGCTCCTTAGGCCATGGTAGTTCAGGCCCACAAACCAGGGTCAAAAGCCCAAAAGCCAAGGTCAGGCAGGCTGGCTGCCTGCGGGTCGGGGGCGGGGGCGGGGGGGGGGGGGGGCGGGCAAAGCCACGCCTTGTCTCTGTAGTCTGGGGTCTGTACCAATACCCAGCTGCAGACACAGCACTCCGGGCTCTGCCTTCCTTCCTAAGGCTTCTGTGACTGGACACCCGGGTGGCTTCTTTCTACAGCCTTTACAGTAGGCTATGTGTAACAAATGCATCTGTAGACGGTGGCTTGAAGTCAGGGCCTGGGAAGTGCTGTGGCTGGGGCTATCCCTCCGCCGATCTTTGTGCGTTTAGTGTTTATCAGATAGGGCCTGTGCTTTTGCCCCGTCTGGCTTCAGCCCTTGATCCTCCAACCTTTGGCCTTCAGCATCACTGGGGTCCCAGGTGGGTACACTGCCAGTATCTGGTGATGCTGGAGTTTTGAGGTAAACCTTTACTTGCTAGGTAGGTGCTCCAACCCTTGAGCCACAACCCCAGACCTTTTTGCTTTTGCTTTTAGATAGGTACTCACGCTTTTTTGTCCAGGGCCAGCCTAAGACCTTGATCTTTAACCATGCCTTGTCTATAGCCGAGACTATAGGTATGTACCACCACACCAGCTTGTGTGCTGGGAGTCTCCATTTTTGCCTGGGCTGACCTTGAACTGCAATGCTCTCACCTGCCGCGGGTGCAGAGACACAGTTTCTAGATGAGGTCAGCGCTGCAGGTTCCGGGGGGCTGTATCTGTGGGGAACCACTAATCAAACCACTTCAGAAGCCACAGGGATCTGGCTGAAAGGGCTTTTGCCGACGCGACCGTCTTCATGGTATTCAAGGAGAAGCCCTGGGCCTCTCAGCTGCCCGAGCCGCCCTCACACCCCGATGCTTCGGCCCTGCAGGTGGACGGGAGGACGTTCCCCAGCCTGGAGGACGGCGTCCAGGTGGTGGTGGTGGACGGGCGCCGGGGACACGTGGTGAGCCACGCCAGCTTCAGGGCCTCCGCTCTGCAGGGAGTCCCACGGCAGCTCTTCAACTACGTGTCCGCTATCCCTGACAAGTGAGTCTGTGCCTCTGCGTCCCTGCCCAGGGGCCACGGCTGCCGGAGCGCCGGCAGGCTGTGGCACACGCGAGTGCAAGGCCACCGCACCTCCAGCCGGTGGCTTCCGCGCGTCCCCGGGCCAGAGTCGTCCTAAGCCCTGGTTGTCCCCACCGACCCCTACTCGGCTGTCACCATCTGGGTGTCTCCCGTGAAGCGGACCTCTTGTTTTTAAGCCCCCGACCCTGCCAGGCCCCTCATGTTCCGGCTTCTCACAGAACTCCCTTTCTCCACCCCAAGACCTGACTGGTCCCACGTTGGCCATGTCTCCCCCCCTTCAGCACCCTCAGGGCCCTCCCTGCTGGCCAGCCCTGGGGACACGGGCTCCCAGCCTGCCTTTTACCCCCAGGCTCCCCCAGGGCCCTCCTCTGTAGTCCTGTGTAGTTCCCTGGCACCAGGTCTCCTCCAAGCCAACCCAAAGTCCACGGCTGCCCACTCACCATAGGACTAGAGGACAGGAGTTCAGCCTCAATGCTCCTCTGCATGTCTAGCACAGAACCTGGCTCCTTCACTGTGCATGGAATTGATCGGGGCCACAGCTTGATCGGTGTGTGCCCGCACACGGTAGGCCCTCAGAGAGCAGGTGACTCACCACAGTGGATCCTGCAGGAGATTCAGGGGAACAGGGTCCTGCTGAGCCTTTCAGCCCCCCCTCGATTCCCGTCCTGGGACAGCACACTTGCCATCTAGAGATCAGTAGTTTTAATGCCTTTGATGCTGAAGGACCAGGAGCTGCTGTGGAGCAGCCCAGGCCTCTCCCTGGAGGGGCCAGCCCTGGGTGCCAGAGAGGAACTCGGCATCACTGTATCGCCGGCCTCCAGGACCTCCTGGGGAACAGCAGAACTTCTCGCTGCGGCTGCACACCCGGCCGAGGCCCACGCACCCTTCCAGCCGCTGGCCCCACGGAGCGGAGCAGCTGCTCTGCCCACGGCCTCTGCCTTCCCTCCATGACTCATGTTGCTGGCACGGGCAGGCAGCTCAGTGCTGGGTGCTGTCAGGAGGCCGTGGTGGCCGACGCGCTGCCTCTCCATTCCTCTCCTGTGAGCTAACCTTGACCCCCACGCAGAGGCACAGCCTTCCGCTTAGCCCACCCCGGGGGGGGGGGGGGGGCAGGCGACTTTAGCTTTTGCTCAGAAATGGATGATGGCAAGTAGAGCCTGAGCCAGTGCCAAGTTTGCAGTGAGCCCCACACCCCACCAATCCCTGGGTCTCCTGTCCATCGGTGGGTACTGCCCACGAGCCCTTTGCAACCCTTTCCTAACCTTCCAATGGCTTCTCTGCTCCCAAAGGGCCCAAGTGAGGCAACCGCAGGTTCCAAAGCCCCACGGTTTTTCCATGTCTGGTCTGTGGTCTGTGGATACAGAATTCCTTTGAGGCTCAACCGCCTTGTTTCTGTTCTGTGGGTCCAGCGTGAGTCTGGCGGCTGCCTTCCCAGCAGTGAGGACTAAAACAGTCCCGGGCAGGAAGCAAAGATCCTTGCTCAATGCGCTTTCCAAAGTTAGCAACTTCGGGCCAGGCCAGCACAGTGCCCTCTGGCTGGGACCCTGGATACTCCTGCAAGTATTTTCTAGAACTCTCATCTGGAAAAAAAAAAAAGAGGGTGCAAATTTTGCCTGACTAGCGAGGGAGATGATAGGAACAGAAGTCAGTCTCAGTGACTACCCGGTGGGACCGCTCCTCCTCAGGCAGCTGAGGGGATGCGGCTCTGAGCCACGCGTGGTTCCGTGGCACACGGGCTCCAGGCGCCCGGCCAGGCCTCCCTGAGCCCAGGCTGCGCAGCCTGGGCTGCCGCAGCTCCCAGCCGGTCTGCTCCGGGCTGAAGTTCTAGGAGCTCCCAGTGACACCCGGGGACCGGGCTCCCCCTTCTCTCGCATTGTTCCATCCCTCGTGGCTTCCTCCATCACCGCGTTGTGTGGTTCTGACCACTCGCGTGAGGACATGCCTGTGAGCTGGGTCTGACTCGGGCGCTGGTGCTACCTCAGCGCCGTGGTCACGTTCTCTGCCCTCTGTATAAAGCAGAAGCCACGGCTGGCGTGGGAGGGGCTCAGAGTGTTTGTCCCTGCACAGAAAGGACCTGTCGCTTAGCTACCTCAGGTGCTGCCGGGTGGGGACCAGCACCTCCCCAAGTGCCCCTGCTACGGCCTGCTCACCTAACTGTTCTTCTCACCCAGTTCCATAGTTCTCATGGTGTCAAAAGGAAGGCACACCACCAGAGGCCCATGGACCAGGGTGCTGGAAAAGCTAGGGGCAGACAAAGGGCTCCGACTGAAAGGTGAGTGCGCAGACTGAAGTTTCACCTGACCCCACAGCGCCTGGGCTCAAAACATTCCTTCCCACCGAACTTGGATGGCCTAGTGTGGGCTGGGGGCTGGGGAGGGGAGGGCGCCCTGGGGGATTGGGTGCACTGGGGGCTGGGGAGGGAGGGCGCCCTGGGGGATTGGGTGCACTGGGGGCTGGGGAGGGAGGGCGCCCTGGGGGATTGGGTGCACTGGGGGCTGGGGAGGGGAGGGCGCCCTGGGGGAATGGGGAGCACTGGGGGGCTGGGCTGGGGGAGGGCGCCCTAGGGGAATGGGGTGCACTGGGGGCTGGGGAGGGCACCCTGGGGAATGGGGTACACTGGGGGCTGGGGAGGGCGCCCTGAGGAATGGGGTGCAGTGGGGGCTGGGGAGGGGAGTGCGCCCTGGGGGATGGGGTGCACTGGGGGCTAGGCTGGGGAGGGCGCCCTGGGGAATGGGGTGCACTGGGGGCTGGGGAGGGGAGGGCGCCCTGGGGGATGGGGTGCACTGGGGGCTAGGCTGGGGAGGGCGCCCTGGGGAATGGGGTGCACTGGGGGCTGGGGAGGGCACCCTGGGGGAATGGGGTGCACTGGGGGGCTGGGCTGGGGGATGGCGCCCTGGGGGAATGGGGTACACTGGGGGCTGGGGTGGGGGAGGGCGCCCTGGGGAAATGGGGTACACTGGGGGCTGGGGTGCCATCATTCTGGAAAAGGTATGCAGCCGTCTCCTGGAGCTTCTGCTCACGGGCCCATCACTACTTTGCAGAGAAAATGGCTTTGGTTGGCTTCAAGGGCAGCTTCCGGCCCACCTGGGTGACTCTGGAGACCGAGGACCACAAGGCCAAAATCTTCCAAGTGGTGCCCATCCCCGTGCTGAGGAAGAAGCGGCTCTGAGGACCGCGGCCACCTGGGTGCCACTGGTGGTGGACCTGACACGGACTCATGGCCTCAGCCGGCCAGGGCAGGACGGAGGGCTTCCCCAGCCCGTCCAGCCACAGCCCAGCCGCCTGCTGCCTGGAAGGCCAAGTCTCAGCCCGGATGGGCCTCTGGCGGGCTATTGGAAGCCCTTGGTGCTGCCTCCTGCCCGTCGGGTCTGCCTGGAGCCCTGGCAGTGCTGGCTGGTGCTCTTTCCTACGGCCTCCCGGGCGCTTCTCTATCTGCGCCTCTTGCGCAGGGGGTGTAGGGCCATCCAAGGAGGAGGCCAGAGTGTGTCAGCAGCCGTGGTCTATTTGGGCAAGCTAGGAGGTTCCTGAGGGCTGGGTCATCCCAGAGCCCTGCGCTCGCCAGCAGATGGCTTGGGGGAACAGGAGGAGAAACAGGGCCCCTGGCCTTAAGGTGCTTTATCCCGGTGAGCCTATGTGCAGACGGGGCTGGTCAGGAGGGAGCCAGCTTCCCAGGGGAGGAGGCTGGCTTGGGCAGGCTGGGCTTTCCAGGCTTCATCCAGCCCACTGGGACTTGGACTGGGTGGTCCTCAAAAGAGGTCCTGGAATCGCTGGCTTTTCACATGTACCCGGAATGGCCCAGTCTCTGTGACGGGTGGGTTGTGGGGCACACAGGACTGAATGGCCAGTGTGGGCAGGGTGGGTCAGCGGCCAGGCCTCTGCGCTTTGATGCTGGGCAGGGATCCTGAGAGGCAGATGGGATGGGGCCATTCGGTGGAGCAAAGATGGCATGTGCCTGTGGCCCTGCGATGCTCACGGGAGGGAGGGAGGGAGGGGGCCACCTGGGTGGAGAGATGAGGTAGTGGCCAGAGCTGGGTGCTCGCCGGAAGCCTTTGCTCTGCCAGCTGGCCCACTCACAACAGGGCCATGGAGAGGAGGGGGCTGGGCTGTGCCCAGTGCCCCGCAGAGCTCAGTCTGCAGCGGCCCTTCAGCTCCAAGGGGGGGTGGGGTCAAGCCCACGGTCAGGAGCCCCTGTGCTCGGCACCCAGAGGCCGACCCTAATGCTCCCGTGCCCCAGGGAGCCTGGGCTGAGCTGGAGAGGGCCTCAGGAACACCCCGTTCAAAGCCTCCGTGCCACAGCTGGGGAAAAGGAGTCTCCTGGCCAGGCTGGGCTTCGGGCAGGGCCCCAGGCACTGTACCCAGGCAGGCCAGGGTCCTGGGCTCCCGAAGGATTAGAATGGAACACTCGAGCCACGGCTATTTTCCTGCTGTCCCTCCCTCTGCACAGAGCCTCCGGTCTCTCGTGGTGCTGGCCAACTTTGCCTTCTCTGCTGTCTGCTGGCTTCCAGGTGCCTCGCGGCTGCTTCCACAGCTGTGCACGCAGCCAGCGGGCAGGACCACCTCGAGCCAGAATGGCTCGCTGTGGGAGTCTGAGGAGCCGCTGGCCCCAGCGTGGGCTCCGCTCCCTCAGCCCACAGCAGGCACAACCGCCCACCTCTCACTCGGGAAGCCTCGGGGTCTCACGCGCCATATGTGGATCACAAACTTTCCTTCAGGGCTTGCGTAGCTCCTCTGTTGGCTGGTCCCTGTCCTCCCTGGGTGGCCATGACCGTGGCCAGCAAGGCCACCCCCACGCAAAGGGTCTTCCAGCCACGGGGGGCCCCAGGGGGCCCCTGCTTCCTGCAGCTCCAGGTCCCGACTGGACGCACCCGAAGGTACGAGCACTTCCGGGTCACAGATGTGGACATCACCAAGGTCCTCAGAGCTGTGCACCACAGCCCAGCATCTGCACCCGAGACTTCCCACTAAACCATTCGCCGAGAGACAGTCCGTGTCCAGGCATTTGATAGCACAAACTTCCTCACTGCTTGGAGAGCTGCTCTTGTTCTTGTGTCATAGTTGAGTTAGCCCCTTAAGGCAAACAAAGTCCTCTGACAGGTGTCTTCCTGTTGCCCATGTTTTTTTCTTCAGGATCTGGATGGTCTGTTTGTGTGTAGACATTTCATGAACAAAGATGTATTTTCTATTTATTTATTACATATGCCTTCAGTAAGTCACTGTCAGAAAAATGAAGTTGTTTTGAACGCTCTCTCTGAGGATGTCCTGTGGACTGCTTGGAAGGAGTTTGCCCTGAGCCAAAGACGTGGGCTCTGGTTTGGAAAACCTTGCTGCGCATACATAATAAACATATAAAGAGGGTCACTATCTCATCTGCTTTTTTGTTTTCTATTAAAGTAGGCCGCCTTCGTTTTATGGAAATAAAACCACCCTCTCCGTGAGGTGCCCGTCTTCCCCCAGGCCCGGCTTACTTGATCCCAGACTCAGCCTCCAGCACAGCAGGAGCCATCTGATCTCCCACACCCTGCAGAGCTGGGCCCATAAACGTGTGCTCAGGGTGCTGAATGAAGGCACAGGCAGCCTGTCTCCCTTCTGCTGCCGCCACTGAGGCCAGCGCCTAGGCCAGGCGTTACCCAGGGTGAGAGCAAAAGAAAAGCCTCGTGCACGGGTACTGCAAAGAGTGGCCCCGGGCCCCTTTTTGAAAAAAAATACTGCAAGGTGTTCTCCAGACAGAAGATTCAAGAGTCAGAAAGGGCTGATGTGAGAAAAGCAAGCAACCACTCTAAAAGCACAGAGATACTGAAGGAAGCTTATATATCCACACTTCATGGGAGGGAAAAACCAGAACCACTTGGTAATGGTGATGCCATTATTCAGAAATGAAGGCTGGGACTGTGATGCCAGAATATAAAAAGCAATGCTGTGAGGAGGGAGCCGCCGGAGAGAAGCTGCAGTAATTCCTCCCTCCCTGCAGGAGGAAATGTGCCGTTCCTTTGTAGACACTGGTACATTTGTAATTACAGGTTTAAGATTGAAAACAAACTAATGGTGATAATTAATCCTACTTAAGAAACGAGATGTCTCCTTTGCAAACCATTACAAAAGATAAGAGCAAATAAAACAGTCTTCACTGAGGAAGAACAGGGGGTTTACCGTAAGAAAACCCTAAGAGCCACAGGATCTAGCGGAGGAGAAGCCCAGAAGGGCTAATGTTTCCGTTCAAGCCCAACAATAGGGGAAAAAGATAATAGAAGGAACCCTCTAGTTCTGACTGACCAAGGCCCACTTACATTAGGGACAGCCATCTGCTTACCTTGGCCTATTAATTCAAATATTAATCTCCTCTGGAAACATACATTCTCAGTTGGCTTTCTGCGGCTGTGGCACAGCAACCAAGAGAATCAGAGGCTTAAGTCCACAGTCACTCAGCACCATGGCCGTGGTTGGGCCGGTGGCCGGGGATGGTCAAGGTGACCCATGAGCCAGATGCCTGACCTTGGAGTGCCAAAGCCTGAAGTAGCCTGACCCTGATGGCTGCCGCAGGGCCAAGGACACCTGCAGGGGCCGAGGAGTCAGGGTCTGCCAGAGTTCTACGGGAACGTACGGCACCTGTCGCATGACAAGTCCAGGCAACACAGGACACTCACGGGCAGTTCACAACACCTATCCAAGACTTCTTGACCAGCTTCTTCCGGGCCCCTTACGCTCACCGGCCAGGGCAAGGGAGGGACAGAGCAGCACCTGCACTCACTGGTCAGCTCACGACTCCCAAGAGGCCAAGTCAACAGAGCTGGTTTGGAGAACAGCAGCTCTCAGCTCACCGGCCGGATACCAAGCTGGAAAGCAGTAAGCTTGGAGTGCGGATTCCGCTCGGGTGTCCCTTCACCTTCTACAGGGACAATGGTCTCTGTCGGGCTGACTGATGGGGATAGGATGTTTTCAAACACAAGACCAAAGGAAAGCATCAAAACTGGCTGACGAGATGGCAGATGGTGAGGAAGAGCTGAAAACGTGTATGGCAGACAGATGCATACTCAGCACTTCCAGGGTGGGCCTTGTGCCCCTTCCACAGCTGTCGGCTGACCTGTGCTACGCTGGAAGTTAAGGCAGGCCCCATGAAGAAAACACACACTTACCTGGTAGTTTTGGAGAAAGCACAAGCTCTGGAAAGGGCTCCTCTGGGCTACAGCTCCGCCTGGTAGACGCGGATGTGTAGCCATGTCTGTCTGGCCTCTCCCTTTCCTTAACGAGCCGCAAGGATTAAATACGGGCTCTACGTTAATGGCCTCAGCTCCTCTCCTCAAAGCCACAGTGGCACTGTCCCTGCTGCTACTGTCACCAACGCCGGCGTGAACTCAGGGACAGCCATCTCCAGGCCGCCCGCTGACGTGCCCCTAGCGCCCTGGCCTCTGCTCCCTGTTGCTTCTGGTCAGTTGCAGGTACCCTCAAGAGATGGGCAGGGGAAGGGGAAGAGCTGAGTTCCTGGTGTCCCTCCTCGCTGGTCTCTGAGCAGCCTGAGGTCAGGGCTTCCTAGGCATAGCGATGTCCAGTGGCCACTCCTCCTCATGCCTGGGGGGAAAACTGCTCCCCATGACTGCAGTTCCAAGGATACCACTCTTCTCCTCGCTGACATCCCTCAACTTCACAGTTGAGTGCCTCTAGTGCCACCAGCTTCCTGCTAGGACATCCGAGGATACAAAAATACTGTCTACAAAGCACTGAGAAAGAGAAACGACAGAAACAAAATGAGAAGGGGCCAGTTCACACAGGAAAATCTAAGTGGCCAAAGAATTCAGCCTCTTAGCTGGGAGCCAGTGGACACACCTATAATCCTAGTTACTCAGGAGGCCCTATTTCCAAAATAAACTGAAAAAACCAGGCTAGAGGCATGGCTCAAGTGGCAGAGTGCTTTGAGAAAGCACAGAGGAGGATTGCAGTCTGAGGCCAGCCAGGGAAAAAAGTTAGTGAGACCTCCTCTCAACCAATAAAAAGATAACAGGGTGCTATGGACTTGTGACCTCAGCTGTCGGGGCACGTACGTAGGAGGATCATGGCAAAAATGAGAGCCTGCTTAAAAACAGCAAAAATAAAAAAGGGACCAGGGTTGTGGCTCAAGCAGCAGAGCACCTGGAAGGCAAGCTCAAGGCCACGAACAAATCCCAGTACTTGCCTTTCTCCCTAGAAAAAGCCCAAAGAACTGGCCTAAAAGTAACAAACTACTTTCTGGGGCAGGCTGGTTCCTGGGCTAAACTCTGTCTGTGGCCACAGATTGAGCCACGCTGGACCAGGACACAAATGATATAAACTTAAGAGTAGGAGCCCAGAGGGAAACAACAGTCTTCACGCTGCACAGTCCCAGCTCAGAAACAAAGGATTCGCAAGGGGTCAGGGACCTCACCGCACGGGAGCAGGGTCACCCTTTCTTCCAAGGCTGGTAGAAGACGTCTCCCCTCTTCCTAGGTCAAGCATGGCAAAGTCATCCCACTTGGGGGGAAGGTAGAAGGCCAGGACCAGAGGCCTCTGTGTCCAAGCCCATGGCTGGAGCACAGCAAAAACACCGACAGACTGGAGAGCAGATGCGAAGCAGACCCGGTGTCCTGGGCATTACCAACATTCTACCACCGCAGCTCCCTGCTCAGCCCTGGCCCAAAGCCACTGGCTCTGGAACAAAATCTGGGAAGCCTGAGTTTCTGGCTTGTGATGTTTGGGGTTCTCCTGAAACCTGTCTCGCTCCCACAGATAGCATGCGCAACCTGCAGCCTACAGTTCATCCTGGCTTGGGCAGCAATACCCGCTGCGCCCTGCAGGGAAGGCTGCCTCCCCTGAGTTCTGTCATGCAGGTCCACAAGTCAGGGCCCCACAGAGGCGGACCTGAAGAAAGCCACGCTCCGGCACACGTGTGTGCACACAGGGGATGTGAAAGCCATGCTACTCTTACACACACACCCAGAGAAGCCCTGCGCCACCCACTCCACGGGCAGCACAGTGGCTGGACAGAATCCAGCGCTGTCCTCAACCGTGCTCACGGCCCAGGCTACCAGCAGCCTTCCAGGCCCTGGGGAGGACGCGGAACCTTGCTTAGCAGGTGATGTGCAGTTAGGTAAAGCTGTCCAGAGTCTGGAGCAGGCATGGTAAACGGTAGCAGACACCGGGTCACACCCAGAAGCACAGCAACTGGCCCCCCTTGCTGGAACTGGCTGCAGGCGACTACACCAAGGGTCAACAGATGGGGAGCTCTTGGGGCCTGGCTGCCTGAGCTCAAACCCTTGCTTGCAGCAGGATGCGGTACGACAGCCTCTGGTAAGTCAGGGTGACCACACAGCACCTACAGTACAGGGGCACTGACGCGTTAGAGCAAAGAGCGCAGACTGGACAACCAGACAGAGGTACAGGAAGCTCTCAGACAGTTCACACGCGTGGCCGAGCCATGTGTTAGCTCCAGGGAATCGCACCAGCGCGGTGATGAGATCAGGGCCGTGGCACAGGACTGGTCTCTGCTGCCCCCTGGTGGCACCTCCTTGGACTCACCCGTGACTGCAAAGGGACCCCTTGGGGGCTGAAGAAGCCTTCCCCAAGCTTTGTGCGGGTGCCACTCTCCCCAACAGAGGCCTTCTGTGGAACAGCCTTGCCATGGGCCTAGCCCTCAAACCCTCCTGCCTCGGCCTCCCGAGGGCTGGGACTGAGGGCATGCCCCACCACCTCCAGCTGACGGGCTGTGGTCACTGGCTGTCCCTTGCACACCCTGCACCGCAGGCCCAGGGTGGGGGTCAGCTGCCGGGACCACGGTTTGTGTGTGCAAACCTCCAGCCCAGAGTATCTGCTGCTGAATCACCACCGTGTCTGCCTCAGCTCCCACTGGGCCATGTGGCCAACAGTTACCACAGTTCCTGCTCAGGGCAAGGAGACGGCCAGAGAAAACCAGGGCCCGACGGCGGGGAAAGTGAGGTGGTCTCGTCATAGCTCAGCCCTGAATGTGTAGTCAGGGGTAACTAAGACCGTGGAGGCACTCTGGCTCTATCTAAGACATGACCTGGGGGAAGAGGATGAAGGCTGACCTTGTGTTCCTGTCCTTACCACACATAGAGGAGCGCCACATAATTTGCTCAGCTCCACGGGGTGGGTCCCTCATGGGATGGCATCAGAGGCCTCCTGGCAGAAAGGAAGCAGGGAAGAAGGGACTGCAGACCAGACAGAAACTTCCAAGGCTCTCCCCCACCCTGGGCCAGCTGGAGATCCAGAGCTGAACACAGCAGCCTGAGGGGACACCTCAAAACCACAGCACCACAGCACCTGCCTTGGCCCGAGGCTCCTGGCCACCTTATAAACCAAAACTCTTAAGTCCATCACCAGGTGCTCCCAAGTCTAATAGTTCCAACAGTGCACAAGGCCCCTCTTGGCCACAAGCCGCTTAAGTAACATTCTTCCAACATACCTTATGGCAGTCAGCATTCCCACACCAAAGAGGAGGAATGGAGGCAGAGAAGGAGGGGTGGGACTGAAGCAAGACCAGACCTGCAGGACACACTTCAATCCTGAAGATCCACAACTGGGCATCTGGGGCTGTCAACTCCCAAGAGCTTGGCAGGCCTGCCCATGCCTAGCAGCCTTTAGAGCCAATCTCTCAGGCTGACGCCACCACCTGGGGCTTTCCTCAGCAGGTGTTTTACTTCCTAGCATCTGACCTGTGGGGAAGCAGGTGCTGACAGGCCAGGACAAATGTGTTCTTATGGGCTTTTTTTCTTTTTGGGGGGGGGGGGTGGTCCGGTCGTGGGGCCTGAACTCTGGGCCTGGGCGCTGTCCCTCAGCTCTTCAGCTCAAGGCTAACGCTCTACCACTTGAGCCACAGCGCCACTTCCGGCTTTTTCTGCTTATGTGATGCTGAGGAATCGAACCCAGGGCCTCGGGCACACAAGGCAAGCGCTCTACCACTGAGCCATCTTCCCAGCACTTATGGGCTTTTTTTTTTAAAGGAACTAGTATCAGTCACTGTGCTAGAACGTGACTGGGGACGTTCACTTTGGGCCATTCCTAACCCTGGGCCAATGCTGTTTCTGTTGTCTACAATCACAGCTGAAGGCTTTCAGAGAATGTAAGCTCTTAAAGATGACAGCCGTAGAGAAAGGGTCTTATTCAGAAAAGGCTCCAACCCACGAACAGCAGCACACGCCAGTATCACGAAAAACACAAGTGAGGCACTTTATCAGAGAAAGACGCTTGGAAACACTGTAAATGAGGTCCTAAGTCTGCTGGTCCCCCTCACACACCTCACGGCTGTCAGGTGATGGGGAGAAACCCGCCCTAACACCAGCACCGCTTTCTTCGGCAAGGAGTCACAAAGCTCGGCCTCCCCTAGGCACACACTTCTGTGCCAGTGCTGGCTGCACCGTGTCTTCACTGCAGCACTCCCACAAGCCATGAGGCCCTGACGTCTGTCTGGTCCACGGAAAATCAGAAGCACAGACATGGCGGGCCACAGGAGCAGACAGTGAAGAAGGGTATCAATGGCTCACCACTCTGCGGAAAGAGCAACAGTCAACCTCTGAATGAGGCGAATGATCTTGATCTTGATCTGACAAGATCCTCAGTGTCTAACATTAGTCAGAAAACCTCGGCCTCGTGCTGGAAGCACTTAACAGCAATGCAGATGCTGCCAGGAGCTGGCAGGTGGCAGACAGACCCTTCCTCGGGAACACAAAGTCACTGGTAGGCAGCTTCCTGCTGCTCCCTCAGGAGCCTCGGCCTGCTACAGGTCTTCTCGCCTCTTTCCAGCGCGGTTGTCTTCCTTGGAAGCCCTGGGCTTCGGGTCATCCTTCTTCTTTGTGCCTTTCTCTTGCTTCGTTTTGTTCTTCTCCTTGCTTCCGCCTCCCTTGCCAGGGTAGACCTGCCCCTCCAGGGTGACATCGGCACACCTGTCCTGACTGACCAGAAAGTCCTTGATCTCCCAGGCATAGCCCCCGTCACGAAGCATGAAGATGGCCCGGTCGGCCCCCACGATGAACCTGGACAGGGAGAGGTGCCCGGCTGGTTAGCACAGCCAGTGAGGAGCCAGTCAGAGCCATTCAGCAGCTCCGAACCAAGAGCAGCTCGTTCCAAACTGCGCATGAACACAAATCAAACACTAGGTTTTCCAGGGCCTAACAGTTGCTGACCTTCACTATTCTCTGATGTTAGTTCCCCTCCACGCCTTGCTTGGATCACAAAGCAAGCATATGCTGGGTTTCTCTGGGCACAGCGGGCAGACAGGGCTGTTCCCAGCACCAGAAAACCCTCAGGTGCCACACAAGGGGTGGGGAGCACCGGTGAGCCGGGCGGGGACACCCCCCACAGGACGGGGAGCGGGATGGCAGGGCCAGGGGAACGTGCTCCTGCAGCCTACATCAACCACAGCCTATGGGAGAGACCAGCCCATGCGGAAAACCATGCATGGCCAAGTGCGGGGGTGAAGCCTGTAACCCCACCCTAGGGTGCCTGGGTCTCAGCATAGACTGCAACTTCCTTCAGTTGCAGATACTTTACCTCTGGACATCGTAATTGGCATTGAACAGGCTGCCCTGCCACAGGCTGGTGATCTCCTCTGTCTCCTTCTCCGTGGGGCTCCCAGACACAGTAACAAACATCATGAGGGTCTTCCCCTTCTTTGTCATTTTCAGTATACTTTCAGGCTTGCCAGGGTCTATCTGTGAGAAGTCCACAGGGGCCGAGGGTCTCTTATGCTCTGGAAGATCTCCTTCTTCTATGTCGTCATCTTTCTGTCAGGATGAGGAAAGCATCAAATCTTTCATCAGAAAGGTGCAGGCAAATACATCTACATGGATGCAGGGGCAGGGAAATGACCTAAACTGCAAAGGAAAAGGAACTGTGGGGTTTCCCTCCACACCCCAGTCACCGCAAAGCCTCAGTGTGAGGCAGTGCTACCCACTGCCCATGCCAACACTCAGAGCCCCTACGTGCTGCAAGAACATCCCCAACGCGAGAAGTTACAAACACGGCCATACTCTAGTATGAGAATGCTGCTCAGCGATGAGCAGATACCGACATACACACACAACAAACCTCAAACCTACTGAGTAACAGCCAGGCATGGCAGCACAGGACTATAATAACGTGATCAAAGTTTCTGGACCATCTTGAACGACTCAGTGAGACCCTGTCTCACTAAAGCAAACCACTCAGAAAAAGCCGAAAGTGGAGCTGTGGTTCCACTTTTGCCTTGAGCAAAATCTCAGGGGCAGCCCCCAGACCCTGAGTTCAAGGCACAAGACTAGCCAAAAAAATAAATAAATAAAAGGATGATGGGTGATGACACACATTCTTCTATGGCTACGCTTAGCACAGCTGCTGACTGAGGACTTGCGCTCTTCCAGCTAGCTACTTTCAGGCAGCAAGCGCTACCGCTCCATTTTTCAGCTGAAGAAACTAAGTCACAGATAGTAGTTTCTGACCAGTCCAACTTGACACTAGACTGCTAATCTGTGTGCTATCCTGCTTTGCTTCAAGCTGCTGTTACAAATGCCCTTCTCCCACGCTTTCTTACCCTGCCTCAAATGCTTCAGTCCTCACAGTTTCCTTGACCTTCCCAAATGCCCTTTCTTCCTGAAGCCCTCTAAGATTCTCACCGCACCTTCTTAAGCGTTTGGCCATTCTAACTGCGTTCGGGTGATGTTACCAGCAGTTTCTAGGGGCTCCCTTGCTCATCTCTGCAGGCCCCTCTTCCTGGGTGTAGGGGGGCCCTGAGTATCTCCAGACAGGGCTGACTTCTCCTGAGATGATGGTCTCACTTTATAAAATGGAAAGGCTTTATCTGCTCGGGTCCAAAAGAGACAGGGAGACTGCAAGGGAGAGAGAATGGGAACGTCCCCTCTTCTTCAGTGGTGTCAGGCAAACACCTAAGTGTTCCCCAAGTCTCCATCAGATAAACATGGAAGTACTAGCCTGCTTTCTTCTGGTCAAACCTACCGGGTGACTATTTAAAACTCGTGCCTGGGTCTTTACTCTCTCCCCACGAAGATGACACCACCGTCGGTGCTGGGTCTGGGTCATCCAGTAAAACAACACCGAGAAGAACCGGGGTTTCTGCCGCTGTGCAAGTGCGACCCGGCCGCGCTTCCAGAGAGGAGTGCACGGCGCGCGTGCCCCGTGACCGCATACGCGTGCCCCGGCTCACACGCGTGCCCCGCGACCGCACACGCGTGCCCCGGCTCACACGCGTGCCCCGCGACCGCACACGCACGACCGCACACGCGTGTCCTGGCTCACACGCATGCCCCGCGACCGCACACGCACGACCGCACACGCGTGTCCTGGCTCACACGCATGCCCCGCGACCGCACACGCACGACCGCACACGCGTGTCCTGGCTCACACACGTGTGCCCCGCGACCACACACACGTGTCCTGGCTCACACACGCGTGCCCCGCGACCGCACACGCGTGTCCTGGCTCACACGCACCCACGCCCACCGGTATCGGGCCGGAGGTCCAGGGCGCGGAGCGGCCCCCTGCTACCTCCCACCCCGAGGTTACGGCGCCCCGGAGGGCGCGCCTCCGCGGCGGGGAGGGGACGGGGACCCGGGCGCCCGCTCCGGGCCGGGGAAGCGCCGCGGGCTCGGGCCGGGGCCGCGTCGGGCCCACACCGGGGACCGGGGGCCGCGTCGGGCCCACACCGGGCCGGGCCGGGGCCGCGTCGGGCCCACACCGGACCGGGGACCGGGGACTGGGGGCCGCGTCGGGCCCACACCGGGCCAGGGACCGGGGACCGGGGGCCGCGTCGGGCCCACACCGGGCCGGGGACCGGGGGCCGCGTCGGGCCCACACCGGGCCGGGGACCGGGGGCCGCGTCGGGCCCACACCGGGCCGGGGGTCGGGGGTCGGGGGTCGGGCCCACACCGGGCCGGGGGTCGGGTCGGGCCCACACCGGGCCGGGGACCGGGGGTCGGGGGTCGGGCCCACACCGGGCCGGGGACCGGGGGTCGGGTCGGGCCCACACCGGGCCGGGGGTCGCGGACGGGCGCGCGCGCGGACCTCCCACTGTTCCAGAAGACGCGCCATGTCGGCGTCGTTGTAGTCGCGGATGTCCTTCTTCTTCCTCCGCGGGGGTGGCGTGGCCTCGCCGGGCGTCCCGGCCGCACTGTCGGCCGCGCAGGCCCCGCGGGGCGGCAGCAGCCAGAGCTCAGAAGCACAAAGCAGGAGCAGAGCCGCGCGAGCCCACCCGGAGGCCGCCATCTTCGCCGCGCTGCCCGGCGCCGCCGCCGACAGTGCGCCTGCGCGACGCCCCGGCCCCGCCCCGGCCTCCAGGCCCCGCCCTGCGCACGTACGCCGCGCGACTCCGCCTCCCAACCCTCGGCCCCGCCCCGGCCCCCTCGCCAGCTCCCCCGCCTACGTACGCCGCGTGGCTCCGCCCCCAGCCCCGGGCCCCGCCCCAGAAGCCCCGCCCCCGGCCTGCGGGCTCGCGCCGCGCGCGCTCGTTTCCCGGCCCTGGCCGACCCGCGCGTCCGACCCACGCCGGGTCCCCCGCGCCCCGCGGGGCGTGCGGCCATCCCCCGCGCACGGCCCGGCCACCTTTGCGTCCCGCACGCCTCCCTCGGCTCACTCGGCCATAATCGCGGTCCGGGAAGAGGCACGTCCGGACAGGACGGACAGACGGCTGCGGCTCACACCTGCCCCCGGGCCCCGGCGCCCCGCGGGCCTCCGCTCTCCAGGTCGCTGCAGACCCCGGAGCGCGCGCGGGGCTCCGGCCGTCCCCCCCTCCGTGCCCCTCCATCCCCCCCTCCGTCCCCCCCTCCGTGTCCCCTCCATCCCCCCCTCCGTCCCCCCTCCATCCCCCCTCCATTCCCCCTCCATCCCCCCCTCCGTCCCCCCTCCATCCCCCCTCCATCCCCCCCTCCGTGTCCCCTCCATCCCCCCCTCCGTCCCCCCTCCATTCCCCCTCCATCCCCCCCTCCGTGCCCCCTCCATCCCCCCCTCCGTCCCCCCTCCATCCCCCCCTCCGTCCCCCCTCCATCCCCCCCTCCGTCCCCCCTCCATCCCCCTCCGTGTCCCCTCCATCCCCCCCTCCGTGTCCCCTCCATCCCCCCCTCCGTCCCCCCTCCATCCCCCCCTCCGTCCCCCCTCCATCCCCCCCTCCGTCCCCCCTCCATCCCCCTCCGTGTCCCCTCCATCCCCCCCTCCGTGTCCCCTCCATCCCCCCCTCCGTCCCCCCTCCATCCCCCCCTCCGTCCCCCCTCCATCCCCCCCTCCGTCCCCCCTCCATTCCCCC